GAAAGCGCTGGACGTACCAGTCACGAAGCTGCTGCGGTGTGAGAGACTGCTCAGCACCCCGAACCGGAGCACCCCCAGACGCAGTAACCCGAGGCTCCGTAGGCTCAGTAGCAGCACCCCCAGGCTCAGTACCCGCAGGCTCAGTACCCGCAGGCTCAGCACCCCCAGTCGCAGCACCCCCAGGCTCAGCACCCCCAGGCGGCAAACTCTCAGGCACAGTACCCTCAGCTCCAGCACCCTCAGTCCCAGCACCCGCAGCCCCAGCACCCCCAGGCCCAGCACCCCCAGGCTCAGCACCCCCAGGCTCAGCACTCCCAGCAGCACCACCCGCAGCAGCACCTGAGTCACCTGTGACCTCGACAGGCTCAGCGACGGGAGGAGGGTCTACCTGAGAGACACCTGAAGGAGCAGGACCCTGAGGGGGAAGGGGGTCTACCGGAGGGGGACCAGGAGCAAGGAAAAGCGGCGGGGGAGGGAGGGGGGCAGTGCGGTAGGGGAAGAGACGGTAAAAAGGGACCGACTCGTCAAAGGTGACATCCTGAGAGGCGAAGACCCGGCGCGAGGTGGGGTGGTAAAACTGCCAGCCAGGCGCGTCAGGAGAGCTTGTCCGCGGACGTATCGCGGACAAGGGCACGAGCACCCCACACCCGGAAGCGCGACACATCGCCAACCTCCCCCGTCCAACGCAGAGTGGGCGAGGTCTCCGGCAAGGAGACACGGGGCCAGAGGTTGAGCTGATGCGCGGCGTACCGGACAGCAAACGGCCACAGAAAATGGGGAGCCGCCGCGTGGACCAAGGAGGTACGAGCGACCTCCATGACCAGGCCAATGCGGCGCTCAGCAACCCCATTCTGCTGCGGGGAGTCCGGAAGCGTGAAGGTCTGCTCGATGCCCTCCGCCTGACAGAAGGTCCTCAAGAGGTCGGAGGAAAACTCACCACCTCTGTCAGAGTGCAGACGCAGGACAGGAAGATCCGTCCGGAAACGGCGGCGGAGCTGGAGACGAACCGTGCGGATCCAAGGGATCAGAACAGCAGGGACCTCACCCTTGGTGCGCAAGGGGAAGACCGTGGTGTAACGCGAGTAGTCGTCGACAACCAGCAAAAAGTACCGCTCACCGCCCTGACCACGAACGCGGGCTGGGCCCCACACATCCAGGTGGAGGGTCTGCAGAGGAGCCTCTGTCGGGGGGAACGAGGAGGAGTGAGGAGCGGCGCGCTGCCGCCCCTCGACGCAAGGAAGGCAAGGCGGCGCAGGCGAGGCAGGGAGGGGAGGGAGGGACCTGGGAAGACCAGACACAAGGTGGCGACGGTGCATGCCACGAAGGCGTGGCAAGGAGGGGTGACCCAGGCGGTGGTGCCAGAGAAGAGTCTGGTGCGACAGGGAACGACACTCACAGGCGTGGGCTACCAGACCTGACGCAGACACCTGACCGACAGCAGCGACCTGAGGAGACGCAGTGGTCAGTGTGTAGAGACTCGACCCCGGCCGACGGGTAAACGTAGCCAGGTGACGGCCGGTCCTGGAGCACGTGCAGATCGCCACATGCTGTCCTCCAGGGGTAAAGGTGTCAACCCACTGATCCTGGAGGACAGCGTTGCTCACCAGGTTTGTCGAGAACGAGGGGAGGTGGAAACCCGACAACGAGCCAGACGGAACCGCCGGACAAGGGAGGACAGTGGTGGACTGGGCAAGGACTGGGCCCCCAGAGGGGTCAGCCAAGGAGACTTGGAACGGTGCAGGAAGCGGTGTGAGCTCAGTACTGTCACGAAAGAAGCAACGGGAAGCACCTGAGTCAAGGGTGAAGGTGTGACAGGCCTCAGCCGGTGCGGTACCTGAGAGAGCAGTCTCTGTGGGTGCTGTACCTGAGAGAGCAGACTCGAAACCAGCCGGGACAGCACTGGAGGGAGCAAGTACAGGGGGCACCATACCAGAGAGAGCAGACTCACTAGTACCCAGGGCAGCGGGCTCTATACCTGGGTCAGGCGGCACACACAAGTAACAGTCTCCCTCGGCACTAACAGTCAATGCATACATGGCAGCAATAATAGCATCATAGTCAAGAGCAAAGACATCAACACCAGCCCTCATGAGCTCAGCCCAGCGGGGGCGCTCAACATCCGCACCCATCTCCTCACGCCAAGCGTCGTCAAGGCGGGAGAAGCAGCGGTACGGGGTGTGGAACCTCCCACACGTCTGTCCCTTGCGGTCACCTGTGCGAATGACATAAGAACAGCGGCCACTGCCCCCCGACGTCCCACGCTGAGCAAGCCACTCACGAAGCTGCTGGGTCGTCTGGGGACGCTGCTGCTGCTGGGAGCTCTGGCCCGAGCCAGTGCCTCCACTCCGACCTCCGCCGCCACCACTACCACCGCTCCGACCGCCACCGCCACCACCGCCACCACCGCCACCGCCGCCACCGCCGCCGCCGCCACTACTGCCACTGCTTCCTCCGCCGCCCCCGCCTCCACCACCGACCCCACTCCCACCAGCGCTCCCGCCACCGCTCCCTCCAGCACCGCCTCCCCCCCCACCTCCCCCACCTCCTCCCCCCCCAGCGCCACCACCACCACCCTTGCCCCCCTTGCCCTTGCCGGTGCGGCGCCTCCCACCAGGAGCAGAAGCAGCGCCAACAGACTCAGCACCAAGGAAGTCAACAGCAGTAGCAGCAGCGTAGGAGGGAGCGAGGGGAGAGGGAGAACACCCCTCAAAGATGGGGGTGCGAGGAGCGCCACGAGCAGCACCGACAGCTACAATGCTCTTTTCGGCCGCAAGCAGGCGCTCCTCTAGGAGGGCGACTGTGAGCTCAGTGGGACAGCGAGCAAGGAAGTGGTCTCGAACTGAGCGGAGGGTGTCAGGGAGACGGGTGACTATGAAGTGGAGTGTCCAGTACAGTGGAGGGGGGTTCTTAGCGCAGAACTCGGTGGGAAGGGCGGCACGCAGGCGAGCATCACTAGTGCGAAGGTGGGTGATAAGATCGGCGACTGTAGTAAAGGTGGACAGATCGGGGAACAGGTACGGCAGCATGAGGCGGCTAAGCTCGGCTGTGGCAGGCGAGGAGTAGCGAGCAACGACAGCATCGTACAGGGCCTTAGCGGATTTGCAGTCGCCAAAATGCTCGAGCTCAGCTAGCGGCAGGTGACTGCGAATGGCTAGGCGAGCAGCTGCGTCACGAGTCTGCCAGTGGGAACGAACACTAAGCTCGGCTGTGGCAGCAGGAGCAGCGGCAGCACCAGACGCGTAGTCATAGAGGGAGATGTGGTCCGTGCTATTGCTCATAAGATACAACTGCAGGTCGTCGAGCCAGGAAGTGAACTGCACAGGGCGGCCCTCAGCATCGAAGGAAAGAACGCGAATAGAGGCCATAGCTCAGGCGTGAGGGCACAGCAGAGCAGCGGCAGCAGCAGAGGGGACGCGCTAGAGCGAAGCTAGCAGCCACAGCAGGAGCAAGCGGCGGTGCACAGGCAGGGAGCAGCAGGCGAGAAGCGCGGCGGGCGGGCTGCGAAGCGGGCAGCGGGGCGGGCGGGCGACGCAGCAAGCGGGCAGTGAGGCAGCGGGCGACGCTGCGAAGCAGGTAGCGGGCGGGCGGGCGGCGCTGCGAGCGGGCAGCGAAGCGGGCGGGCCGCGAAGTGGGCAGCGAGCGGGCGGGCGGGCTGCGAAGCGGGCAGCGGGGCGAGCGGGCTGCGAAGCGGGCGGGCCGCGAAGCGGGCAGCGAGCGGGCGGGCGGGCTGCGAAGCGGGCAGCGGGGCGAGCGGGCTGCGAAGCGGGCGGGCCGCGAAGCGGGCAGCGAGCGGGCGGGCGGGCTGCGAAGCGGGCGGGCCGCGAAGCGGGCAGCGAGCGGGCGGGCGGGCTGCGTAGCGAGCGGGCCGCGAAGCGGGCAGCGAGCGAGCGGGCTGCGAAGCGGGCGGGCCGCGAAGCGGGCAGCGAGCGGGCGGGCGGGCTGCGAAGCGGGCAGCGGGACGAGCGGGCTGCGAGCGGGCGGCTCGGCGGGCGGGCGACACTGCGAGGGGCGCGCGAGGGCGCTAGTGAGGGGCGCGCGAGGGCGCTAGCAAGGGGCGCGCGAGGGCGCTAACGAGGGGCGCGCGAGGGCGCTAACGAGGGTGCGCGCGAGGGCGCTAACGAGGGGCGCGCGAGGGCGCTAACGAGGGCGCACGAGGGCGCTACGAGGCTAGGGCACGGGGTAGCGTGGTAACCGCATGCGAGCGGTGGTGGGCCCTAAAAAACGGTCGGTAGGTCCTAGGGACCTCCTGCTCTGAATACCATCTCAGAATAACTAGGCAAGAATGGTGTATTGAATGGAAGAATTGGGTACAAGTAGCAAACCCTAGTTGGGGTTGTACCCCATATTGGCTACCCCACTACAGCCTACAAGCATAATACAGTTTAACAGCGCTGGCGTGCGCGCTGGCGTGCGCGCTGGCGTGGCGCGCTGGCGTGCGCGCTGGCGTGGCGCGCTGGCGTGCGCGCTGGCGTGGCGCGCTGGCGTGCGCGCTGGCGTGCGCGCTGGCGTGGCGCGCTGGCGTGCGCGCTGGCGTGGCGCGCTGGCGTGCGCGCTGGCGTGGCGCGCTGGCGTGCGCTCTGGCGTGGCGCGCTGGCGGGGCGCGCAGGCGTGCGCGCTGGCGTGTGCATTGGTGCGGCGCGCTGGCTAGGGCGCTGGCGTGCGCGCTGGCGGGCCTGCGGGCTAGTACGTATGGGATAGACGGGCTAGGGCGACGGCGAAGGCGCAGGCTAGGTCGACGGCGAGGGCGCAGGCTAGTGACGGCCTAAGACTAGGAACGGCGCAGGTTGTGGCCTAGGAACGGCGAACCTACTGCTGATACCATCTCAGTAACTAAACACAGCGGAATGACTTGCATTGATTGAGTTGGGGTACAAGTACCTAACCCTAATTGTTTGTACCCCATATAGTATGACCCACTAAGGGCTATAACATTTGACATCCCCACATGAGCTAGAGTGCTCGAAACTCTAGGACCCGAGAAATGGTAAACTGCCTACGATCTAGAGAAAATCATCCGACCCTGGAAAATGTTGCATGTCTGGATGAACCCCTCCACCTGGGGGACCTCGAGGCCTTGGACCGCCAGCCCTGTACGAAGGGAGGAAGTGAGATTCAGAGAGTGCCAAGTACCAAACACAAACGTGGGATGATTGAGCATCTGCGCATGTATGCGCTGCCTTTGGTGTGTCTTTGACCATCTCTCCATAAAGTGAATTTTCGCATCATGTCGAACACATTCAGAACCGAGTCAAACAGGCAGTAACATGCGTACCCAAATCTGCCGGGCTCAAAGCCCGGGATGCCTGGAGGACCAAACGGATCGAAGCGCGCTCCTGGTGGCATTCCCCTGTAATCACACAGAACAACATGATCAGAGCCCCAACTGCAAAGTGCACCAACAAGATAAAAAAGTAGCCCAGAAGTCCCGAGGGACATGTATGCAAGAGAAAGGTGTAGGGATGGAAGCTTACGGAGGCAACGGCCCCACGCCTCCAACTCCTCCTGGAAACGTTGGCCCCCACCTTGGATCATGAGGCCCTGGACATAGAGAGAGATAGAGAGAATGTAAGTTAAATTCTCAGAAGCGGTATGCGAGAACCAACGCATACGCTAACACCTTAGGTTGTAACTCTGCCTTCACGACACCATCCTTGCAGTGGGAGATAACACATACCTACAAGCATGCTTCCTCCACCGAAACCAGGTCTGCCACACAAAAGTAAGGTTTTCAGGGTGAGCACGATATTGAATACATATAGATTAACAAAACGAGGACTCGCTTACGAAATCCTACCTTGAAGGCATGATCCCAGCTCCCCTTCCTGGATGCAAGTCATCGTATGGTGGCCCTGCAGGAATGGGAGGGTAAACTATCCCTTCCCCTCCCCTCAACCCACCAACCGAACCACGCTGAGGCTCCTCAAAATATACCCCTCCTGCTCGCTCTCCCCCTCTTTCAGAGCTTCTCACTGGTTCCTGTCCTGCTGTGCCTGTGGAAGTAGGCTGTGCTGCAGTAGCAGCGTCAGCACCAGCAGCAGCAGCAGCAGCAGCAGCAGCAGTCCCAGCAGGAGTGCCGGAGGTGGTGCTGGAAGTCAAGGGCTCGATGATGGCTGATGATATGGACGATACCAGCGCCGGAAGGTCAGTGAAGATTTTACTGTAGTCAGTTGACGTCGGAGGGGCGTGTGCCGACGTATGCTCAGAGACGCTGGAATGTGGAAGCAGTCAGACAATGCGGCCAATTAATACATTTTAGTGCACGCGAGAAGATGTCAAGGAAAGACGGCGACAATGAATATAAGAGGTTCACAAACCTAATTTCAAGATGAGATACAGAAGCTGAAGCCCCTCCTGCCGCTGCAGAACCTGCTCCACCCATCCCTGTTGCGTCCACCATAAGAAGCTCCCCATCTGCAACAGATAAGCACTGAACCACCACTCTCTCAGATGTACTAGTCTTCTCTGCCTTTGCTGCTTCTGCTGAAGCTCCTGTGCTCTCGTGAGCATACGCGAAATTATAAACACCTGGAACTGAATTCCAACCCTCGATTCCAGCATCGGCGTTTGAAGCTACATCCTTCGATCCTGCCATAATTAAGAAACTCCAAAACCGTCAACTACAAAAACTCCCCAAAAAAATCAGCGTGGTACAAAAGAAACGCAACGAAATTCGTCCGCCGTTGCTCATCGGTCCCTTTTCGTCGTCCCACCTGCAGCAATCTCAGCGGCGTCAGGGCCGACTGCAAGGCACCTGAACCCAGACGCCAGGAAAGTCGCATGGGCCGCAAACGCAACGCTATCTTGTTTGTTGGTGAATCTCGGTCGATACGCCCTAAGCAGAGCTAAGACAGCCTCGGAAGTCGCCATCTGAGGAGGCGAGATTCGACGAGCTGAGCGATGACGAGATTGCGTAACCCAGGAAATCAACCACGAGCGCTTAGGGCAGAGTGAGAGACGAACACGTATTGGTTGTAGGATAACTGCAAACTCAGATGCGAGTACGACGACTGCGTAATTATGAGGAGTCTAGGGTACATGTGAATCCGCAAAAAACGGCGGCCATGCCAAGAGCTGAGCTCTCTTGGAAATTGAAATCTCGTTATGTGCAGGGGGGGCTGCATGTGGAGAAATTTCGTGATTATGGGTCGCGCAGCTCCTTGTATCCAGTTCGCTCAGCTCGTCCGCCAATCACAACCATTTGACATTCCTTGTTCTGATGAGACCCTGTGTTGCTGAGTCCTTCCCGTCTCTAGAGAGTGAGGAATATTCAAAGGTAAATATGTGCTGTACTAATTCAATTTATTGGGACACTGATATTGAAGGGCTCAGAAACAGTGGGGACGTGCGCAGCGTGAGCCGTCCTCAAACCAACAATGCTGCTTTGCCATCCGTTAGAGTCATCCCTCGAACTAACAGTTGAGGCTCGGTCGCACCTGATTCCCAACCAACGAGCCCCAAACCAGCAGCTTCCTAACCACATGACCAAGTCCCCAGTTTGCGCCGCGCTCTCCAACCAGCCCTGCTGTCCTCGAGTCCTGAACGAGCGGAGAGTACAGTACGTCTTCCCCGCGTACACATCCAGGATCCCTTCCGCCAATCCCTTGCAACTTCCACCAACTTCTAGGACCCTCCGCCAAAATCAGAACAGCTCCAGCACCCCCTTCCGCATCTCCCCACGATTCCCCCCCCGCTCCCCTATTCCCGCTCCCGTTTCCCGGTCCCCCGCTATTTCCCCCAATTATTTCCCCCATACCCCAATTACCCCGCCAGCCCTGCTTGCTTTTCCCCCCTTCCGCATTACTTCAGCCATGGCGGTTGCTCCTTCCCTTTCACTCCCACACCAACCCTGGCTATTCTATTCTCAACTCGCCTCGCCTCGCCTCGCCTCGCCAGCCGCGTAGTTAGAACTTAGGAAATCGCCTTACGTCACTGTAACATCGCGGGGAACCTTGTCTGGCTTTCTAATATCTAAAGAGTACCCCGCATTGCGTTACCACCCGTTTTTCCTCCCTCACTTGGCGTCTCGCGTCCTGATCACTAAATGCGCGTTAGACAGAGTCTCTTTGTTTACGCACCGTTTCTGTGTTATTTATGAGACGTTTTTAGTTGCCAGTACACAGCAGAGACTGTATCATCCATAGTGCATTCGTAGAGTCGTGTAACCCTAATTGTACAACAGCCCCATGGGTAGTTGTTAAGGTCGTATTAAACTGCTGGGCCAGCGAGGCAGGTGCACCTATGGGTGGGTGCCTATCTAGCGAGAAGGCGACGAAAGAGGAGCAAAGACCCAATAGTAACGCACCCCCTTCAGGTGAGTCGTTAGCGACTAGTAATGCATTGCCTTATTTCCCTTTGTCTTATCAGTTTTTGTGTCAGCTTGCGATTAGTACATAGTGGGACGACCGTACTGCCGTACATCGCTAGCAAGAACATTTAACATATTCTTCGTCGGCTATAATTGGTTAATGGCAGCTTATTCGTCGGCTGACCGTTGATCACAATAGACGAAATTTCCCACCCACGTGAAAAGGTAGTCGCGGTGCTTCAGTTTTGTTGTACCAGTTAGCATATTAATAATACTTTACCGTCATAGAAACGCGTACCCTTTACATTTCATCGGCTTTCGACTCGCTTAATCATCGTTTCACTCCGAAAATTTCCCCTTTCAATCATCCGTTTTGTCCCTGTTTATTCACTAAGCTGGGCCTAAATCGTCAGTGAGTGCAATCAAATCGAGCGCAGTTTTCAATCATTTGTTTCTCCTCCGCCCTTCCCCCCCTCGGTTCCCGCTCCCTGCTTAGGCGGCGAACCGCCTAAAGTTTCCGCGGGTGCGCCCGCTCCAGAGGCGGGAAGCCAGCCGCACCATCAGCAGGAGCAGCAGCAGCAGCAGCAGCAAGCGGAGGAGCAATGGCGGTTGCAGCAGCAGAAAGAGCAGGAGGCTCTTCAGCAAAAGCAGGCTTACGAGGCTCAGCAAATGCAGGAGCAGCAGCAGTTACAGATGCAACAGCAGCAGCAAATGCACTACCAGCAGCAGCAGCAGCAGCAGCAGCAGCAACAACAACAACAAATGTACATGCAGCAACAGCAGCAACAGCAGCAGCAGCAGTATGGGGTAGATCAGCAAGGGTATAACCCTCAATACGGTATGCAACAACAAGACCCCAGGTACATGCAACAACAGCACATGCAGCAGCAGCAGATGCAGCAGCAGCCACCGCCGATGAATCCCTACCAGCAGCCCCCGCACCTAGCCCCCCCGCTTCCGCCAGGCTTTCAACAATCCGCTGCGCCTATTCCCCCCCGCGGGTTACGACAAGTGAACGAGGAGGAGGAGGTTAACGACGCCCAGGGGGGGTGGGGAGGCGGAGCGCCCGCGGGAGCAGCAGGCGGGGGAGGTGTTATCGGGTATCAGGAACAGCCGGCGGAGCTACAGGAATATTCGTACCAGGATTTAGTTGACGCGACGGAGGATTTTCAGGAGCATTCGGTGCTGGGAGAGGGGGGGTTCGGGAAGGTTTATAAGGGGTACGTTTTGGACCGGTTTCCAGTGGAAGGCGGCCCGCCTGTGACGGCGACGGTTGCGATCAAGAAACTGAACCCGTCGGGTTACCAGAGCAAAGTGGAGTGGATGGTAAGAATCCCTCAACTCGTTATTTATCGCTTCCCCGATCATCTTTCCGCCTTCCGCAAAGGAGGGCCCTTTTCCCCCCTCCCCCCACCCCACTTTGTTCCGCCGACCCTCGCCTCGGGCTTTTCCGCCCCCTTTCCTCGCGCGCGCTCCGCTTGCGCTTCCGCTCATCGCCGTCGCGCTCTTCCGCCCGCTTCCTCTCTCATGTGTTCCCGTAGTTGTTTCTGGATGCCAGATGTTCCAGTTCGATAGGAGTCAATTCGTCAGGCGTTTGCATGTTTTGAGGCGCCTCAAAACTAGACCGCCCGCCTCCTCTCTCATGTGTTCCCGTAGTTGTTTCTGATGCCAGTTGTTGCAGTTCGATAGGAGTCAATTCATCAGTCGTTTGCGTGAGGTCGCTCTTGTCAATGATAGGATATTCAGTCCAGGTACAAGTCACGTATTTTCCCAGAAGTGTCTCCAATACCGTTTATTTGCGCTGGCTAGGATGCCTCGACAAATTGTTTCCTCTCCTTATTTCCTCCCCCCCACTCTCCTCCTCCCCCTTCCCCCTCTACCCTGCCCCCACCCACCTCCACTTTTTCATGCGTGCGTGTCCGTGCTTGCGCATGCGTATGCGGATGAGCGTGTGCGTGTGCTGTGCGTGTGTCTGCGGATGCATGATCTTTTGCTGTGTTGCTCGGGTGCGTACTCGTGTGCGTGTGCATCTGTGTGCATCTGTGTGCATCTGTGCGTGTGGCTGCGTGTGCGTGCGTGCGTGTCCAATGGCAGAGGGAGATCCTGGTGCTGGGGAAGCTGAACCACCCCAACCTGGTGCGGCTGATAGGCTACTGCGCGGAGCTCGAGGAAATGCTGCTCGTCTACGAGTTCGTCCCCCGAGGCAGCCTCGACTACCACCTCTGGCCTGGTAAGCTTTCCTGCTGGTGTTTTCCTTGTGAGCCCTCTCAAGGGAAAAAGGGAACGGCACTCGAGTGAAGGCCATTCGAGGGGCAGGTGTGGATCTGGTGCGGCTGATGGGGTACGTGTAGAGAGGGTGTTTTCAAGACGTCTCAAAAAGACCTGGTGCGGCTGATAGGCTACTGCGCGGAGCTCGAGGAAATGCTGCTCGTGTATGAGTTCGTCCCCCGAGGCAGCCTCGACTACCACCTCTGGCCAGGTGAGGTTTCATGCGGGTGTTTTCCTTGTGAGTCCACTCGAGGGAGGGTCATGCAAGGGGGGGACCACTAGAAGGAAAGCTTGAGGGAGATGCTTCTCGTATACGAGTTCGTCCCCCGAGGCAGCCTCGACTACCATCTCTGGCCAAGTGAGGTTTCTTCTTTGTGAGTCCTCTCGAGGAAGGGAGCCACTCAGGGGAGGGCAGGCATGGATCTGGTACGGCTGAGAGGCTACTGCGCTGTCCTAGATGAAATGCTTCTCGTCTACGAGTTCGTTCCCTGAGGCAGCCTCGACTACCACCTCTGGCCAGGCGAGTCTACTCGTGTTTTGAGACGTCTCAAAACACGCTGAGGCAGCCTCGACTACCACCTCTGGCCAGGTGAGTCTACTCGTGAAAGAGATGGGAGGGCCACTCGAGGGAAAGCCACTAGTCGGGCAGGTGCGCACCTGGTGCTTTTCGTTCACGAGTCCGTTCCCCGAGGCAGCCTCGACTACTTTTGAGGCGCCTCAAAATGCAGCCTCGACTACCATCTCTGCCCAGTTGAGTTGTCCCGCGCGTTTCTTCCTTGAGAGTGCACTCAAGGGAAAGCCACTTGACTGAGTCTGTGCATTGCCCACGGCGCTCTCCATGTGTCTTTCTGCGTCTGTGCTTTCAGCGCCCCTTTTGGTCTTGCGTGTGCCCTCTACTTGCCCCTCTGCTGTCCGTTCTCCCATCTGTTTGCCCATTGCTTGCCCCTCGTCTTGCCCCCCTCATCCGCTTCCCGCATCGGCTTGCCTCTCAGCCCCCAACGTGGCCGCGGCCCCCCTGCTGTGGCAAGCGCGCTCGCGTATTGCCTGCGGCATGGCGTGTGGCTTGGCGCCCCTCTGAACCTTCAGGTGCCCCTCTGTTTTTTCATCTGCTTCCCTCCCTCCCCCTCCCCCTCCCTGTCCCTCCTCCCCTGCGCGTGCCCGTCGGCCCTCAGCCCCCAACGTGCCTGCTGACCCCCTGCCATGGCAAGCGCGTCTGCGTATCGCTCACGACGCGGCGTGTGGCTTGGCGCATCTGCACGCCAGCAATTTCATTCACCGCGACTTCAAGGCCCCGAATATTCTCATTGCCGAGGTATGGCTGGGTATGTCAAGGTGCGTCTGGGTGCGTCTGGGTACGTCTGGGGTCTGGTTCACGATGTGGCGTGTGGCTTGGCGCATCTGCACGCCAGCAATTTCATCCATCGTGACTTTAAAGCGCCCAATATTCTCATTGCCGAGGTACATGCCTTGGTGCTTGCAAGCTCGCTTCCCCTCCCCCCCTCTCCCCTCTTTTCCTTCCTCCAACCCACTGGTTGCTCGCTTTTCAATCATTTATTCAGGAATGAATTCACCTGTCCCACGTATACTGAAAGGGCAGGAGCAGCCAATCAGAAGCTATGGTACTCGGATCCCTCCCCTCACAACCCCAACCCCTCCTCTCCTACTCTCCCATCACAACCCACTGCCTCCCCAAACCCCCCCTCCCCTCTTTCCCTCCTTCCCTCCCCACACAACTCCCACTTTCCCTCTCTCTCCCCCCCCGCTCTCGTCTCCCCACCCTCTCTCCTACCCTCCCACACAACCCCGCTCCACCCCTCCCCTAGTTCCCAACAGCCCATCGTGCTTGTTCGAGCAAGCAAATGGACTTAAAGGCTGGTGACGGATGGGCCTGTTGATGAGGAGCCTCAACGGTGCTCTGACCCCTTCCCACCCCTCTCCACCGCTAACCACTCCAACTGTGCTCGTGCAGAATTACGCAGGGAAGTTGACGGATTTCGGGCTGGCAAAGGACGGGCCGGATGCAGGGCAGACGCACGTGTCGACTCAGATCATGGGCACCATGGGGTACTTGGACCCACGATATGCCGAGACAGGTACGCCAATGGTGGTGGTATGATGAGGTGTAGTTGGTGTGATGAGGCACAGGTCACATGGCATGGCAAATGCATGCGTCGACTCAGATCATGGGAACCGTGGGGTGCCTGAACCCGCAATATGCTGAGGCAGGCAGGTACGACTGTGGTTGGGATATGGTGAGGTAGGTACGATATGGTCTTCATGGCTTGAAACAGGTGTGCTGCTGCTTGTGGTAGTGCAGGGTAGCTGGTATGGTGAGGCACGCGTCACATTGGCATGACATGCCTCAAGTGCCTGTCTCTCTGCATCTGTCTCTCATGCCTGTCTCTCTGCATCTGTCTCTCATGCCTGTCTCTCTGCATCTGTCTGTCCGCCTCTTGACTCTGTCTCTCTGCCTCTCAACACCAACAGGTCAGCTGACAGTGAAGAGAGACGTGTATGCCTACGGGGAGGTGCTTCTAGAGCTCCTCACAGGGATTGGATCTCATTCGAATGTACCACTACCAATGTGCATCTCTCCTGCTCTCTCCCACTCTCTCCATTCCACCTCAACCCCCACAGGTCAGCTGACAGTGAAGAGTGACGTGTATGCCTATGGGGTGGTGCTTCTAGAGCTCCTCACAGGCAAGAAGGCGATGGGAATCAGCCCCGGGGGCAAACCCAAGACCCTCACCTCCTGGGCGCGCCCGTACCTCAACAAGGCTCGGCCGGACCTGGAGTCGCTTGTCGACCCGAACCTGATCGACCCGTTCCCAGAGAAGGTGGCTCGGACGCTGGCGATTTCTGCAAAGCACTGCATTCAGGATGACACCAACATGCGACCCATGATGAGCGATATTGTCGACACGCTCCGGCCGCTCAACACGGCCATTAATGGCCGCCGCTAGGCACGCTTGCGAGTCGACCGGGGGATTGGGAGGGAGGGAGGGTGCGGCGTTGGCGAAGCACTGCATTCAGGACGACACGAATATGCGTTTGATGATGAGTGATATTGTCGACATGCTCCGGACGCTAAACACGGCTATCAACGGCCGCCGATAGGCATGCATCGGCGCATTGCTTTCAAATTGTCTGGGGACCACCATGAGCAATCGGCGGCTACTGATTAGCAGGCGTCATTAAGCAGAGGCTTGGAGCGATGGGAGATATTGCGGATGTGACTTGCAGCCAAGTACGCGGTTGTCTCTGGATGGCGATAGGCACTTTACGGGGGGTTTGAGCATTGAGCAGAGTCGAGAGGCGAGACAATGCGAGGCGAGACGAGGCTAGGGTTCGGTTCTTACAGAAGCGTGGCAAGGGTGTGAAGGCAAAGCTGAGTGAGACGAGGGGGGTAAGGCATGAGGGCAAGGGGAAAAGAGAAGGGGGGGTGGAGGAGGAGAGGGGGAGAGGGGGAGAGGAAGGGGGGGAGGAGGGGGGGTAGGGCACTGGGAAAAGTGATGGGGGCTTGAGGCGATGGTTTACAGAGTAGAGAATGAGCAGGGGTTGAAGGGATGTAGCAGCTGGGACGATGAGGAACAGTTGGAAGAGGAGGAGCTGTCAGGGAAGATGAGCAGCATCAGCATTAGCAGACGTTGGAGTAGGTTTTTGTGCATTGTTGAAGTTAGCAGCACACTAGTAGACTCTGTAGGCTTCAGTGATTTACGGGGGATTGGGGTGAGGGTGAAGTGAAGGAGGGAGGGAGGGGTGTCACTGTCAGTGCTCTGGTGTTGAGTGGTGGTGTATTGGGGAGGTTCAGTAACGGAGAACCACTAAGAGTGGGATGACAGTAGTTCACCTTGATGACAGACAATAATAGGCACTACAGGTATGCTGGTGCTGGTGGGTCACTCTAGGAGTCAGGAGGAGCTGTGCATGCGGTGCGGCAGGAGGAGCTGTGCATGCGGTGCGTTACAAGGCTCTGGAGATGCTCTGTGGCGAGGCGAGCCCGAATCTTGAGATGTGAGGTCTCTCTGTGAGACTCTGGGTTGGGTTGGGTTGTAGTTAGGGTGTGGTGGTTACCTGAGTAGGCAACAAACATGTTAGGCTTGCTTGTTGGACTTACTGCTGGGGCGGATGGGGGAACTAGTGCAGTGCAGCAATGTACTTGGGGGCTTCAGAGTGATCCTGGTCACAAAAATCCAGAGCCTGGAGCTTGTAAACCAGTTTTCCAACTGAGTTGTAGAAAATATGGTGAGGAATTGTTATTTTCACATGGCTATGTAATGCTACTGCTGTATTATCCATCTTTCGTTGCACTCACATTTTTCATCCACCCTCGATCTTGCCGAGCTCGCCGGGAAGAATGCCTTCAGCAATCATGACAGTGCTCCACCTTTTTCTCCCCCACAGCCAGTTCTGATCGTGTTCTCACATCTCCTGCTGGTCTACCATAAACTGGTCAGGCTAGACGTGCTTTGCCGCTGATTCCTCTGATCGGATCATCCATTTCTGCCTCTTCCCGATCATGCCGGTACGCCTGCCTCATTTCATGTACTTGTATGTCTTAGCGTGGCGCTTGTACTTCGCGAATTCGATGCACTCTCAATCTGTTGGTCCCTGAATTTTTGGGATTATAGAAGGAACTAGTGATCAGATTTCGCCGTCTAGGTGCTAATGCAGTAAATCACGGCATTCTAATAGTTAGTTTATTTGCTTTTTGCGACGAATCTTCTCGCGTCGCTTGCTTAGGTTCACTGGTCCATCTGGTCGTCTAAGATTACTCTAGCTTTTGATTCGTCTCGTTTCACTCAAGAGTCGCTTCAGTTGCTCAGAATCGCCTGTTCATTCGCCCGATTGCGTGCTATCCTCCAGGCATCCTCACTAGAGCAGATCTGAAGCGTTTCGAAATCTTCCAGTAACGTGCTTCCCTATAACCTGACTCGTTATTCTCTTTCAGGCGCGTCGGTTGCTGGAAATAGAGCCCCCTGGCCCGTTCCGCTACATCCTGGGCGCGGTGCTGATGCTGGTGGGGGTCGTACTGCCGCTCACCTACTTCATGTTCCGATCCAAGCGAACCCCGCCTCCTTCGTTCAAGCAGACGTAGGTGTGGTAACCCCATTTACTCTTTGTAAGCTTGTGCTGCCGCTCACCTGTTTTATGTTCGGATCCAAGCAAACCCCACCTCCGTCGTTCAAGCTGACGTAGGTGTGGTAACCCCATATACTCGCTATAAACATTCTCGTGTGTGCTGCCGCTCATCTATATATGTTCCGATCCAAGCGAATCCCGCCTCCGTAGTTTAAGCAGACGTAGGTATGGTAACTGTATATACTCGCTAAGTATTCCCACGTGCGTGTGCTGCCGCTCACCCTGTGTACTCGCTATAACCATTCTCGTGTGTGCTGCCGCTCACAACCTTTCCCACCTCCTATTACACCTCAATCGCCCTCTCTTTCTAAACCCGTCCCCTCCTCCAGGTTCTAGCCACCCCAGTTTTCCCCTTCCGCCGCATCTTAGAAGCTAGCCAACGTCTTTCGTGCCGACCACGACAGGGGTCAAATCTTTGCCGCTCTTGATCGTTGAAACAACCAGCAACCGGTTATGGCCCTGCTGCGGCCGCTGCCGCTGCTGCTGGTGCTGGCGCTGGTGGTGGGCGCGGGAGTGGCGGGGGTGAGCGGGCTATACGAGGACCAGGTGGGGGCGTACGACTGGGTGCAGCCGCGCATAGGCGGGGTTCGCTTCGCGGCGTTCCTCACCTCGTCGCAGCGCAAGCGCGTGCTCGTGGGCACGGACAGGAACGTCGTCGCGGCTCTGAACCTCCGCACGGGGGACATCGGTGAGTGAGACAGGGGGGAGACTGATGGTTGAACGAGGAAGTGGGTGGGGGGGAGAAGAGTGTGCAGCGCGCAAGCGCATGCTCGTGGGCACGGACAGGAACGTCGTCGCGGCTCTGAACCTCCGCACGGGGTATATCGGTGCGTGAGACAGGGGGGAGACTGATGGTTGAGTGTGTTGGGGGGGGGGGGGGGGGGGGGAGTGTGCAGCGCGCAAGCGCGTGTTCGTGGGCACGGACAGGAACGTTATTGGGGCTCTAAACCTCCGCACGGGGGATATTGATGAGCAGTGCATGTCACAACAACCAGGAACGTGTATTTTCAAAATGCCGAGCCAGGGGCGATCTGACTGATTCGCGTCAAAGCACCCTGCACATCTCCTGCGTGCTTCTTCTCGCGAATATCCGCAAGGCTGGATCACTGATTCTCGGTTCTTATTTTCGCCTTTCCTTTTCGCTTTCCTTCCCCCTCTCCGTCCCTCCGCTGCATCTTTTCCCCCTTGCAACGCCCTTCCGCGCACTTGATATGGCTGGCAGCATGGCGCCGTGTGCTAGGGGACAAGGACACCCTCCATGCGCTGGATATGGGCGGCAGATGTGAGTGAATGGGCAATAATGGGTGGCAAATGTTAGTGTGCCTGGGCAGCAAATGTGAGCGCATGGAAGCTCATGGGCTGCAGATGTGGGAGGATGGAGGGATGTGGGCATATGAGTGAGGAGGGATGTGGGAAATCGTGTAAGAAACCCGAATCCTTCTCATGCGTCGATATCCCCATTGTCTTCTGTTTCTTTCCCACCGTCCAGACCTCGTCACACTGTCTGGCACCGAGGCAGCAGCAGTGCGGGCATGGGCTGTCCCTGATGGGACCCTCGCATGGGAAACCATGTTGCCACTGCCTTCCGCTGCAACAGGAGGGGCCGTGACTGCCAAATTTGTCACCATTTCGGTGAGTGTGGCATGGGGGTGTGGCATGGGCTGTGCCTGATGGGACCCTCGCGTGGGAGACCGTGCTGCCATTTATTTCCGCTGCAGCAGCAGCATCAGGAGGAGATGAGTATGGCATGGGGGTGTGAGTTGCGAAGCTGTCCTGTTTCGCCCCTGCCGTTGACTGCTGCTGCAGCAGCTGCTGACGGAGTTTCCTTGGTGCTTCTGATCAGCATGTGCTTGTTATTCTCGTTCGTCCAGGCGCCGCAACACTACAAGTTCTCCCTCCCACCTGCTATGGCTTCAGTCTCCCACGCTTCTGGCCTTTGAGTCGACTCAAAAAGTCACCTCGCTTCTGGCCTCAAAGAGATGACTTTTGAGATGACTCAAAAAGATGACTTTTGAGATGACTCAAAAAGATGACTTTTGAGATGACTCAAAAAGATGACTTCTGAGATGACTCAAAAAGATGACTTTTGAGTCGACTCAAAAAGATGACTTTTGAGTCGACTCAAAAAGTCACCACGCTTCTGGCCTCTTTCCTTCTGTCTTTTCGTCCCCCTTTCCCCCTCTCAGGCCACTGACGGTTCGTCACCAGACCGCATGGTGGTCCGGCTTGCCTCAGTTGCAGCAGCGAACGGAACAGTATCAGAGCCAGCTTTAACATCAGAAGCAGCAGCTGAACCACCCGATAACCTACTCTAATGGATTCTTTCCTTTCGTCCACCCCCTTCCCTCTCAGGCCACTGACGGCTCATCACCAGACCGAGTGGTGGTCCTTCTTGGGTCAGCACCAGCAGCAAACTCAGCTGAACCAGCAGCCACATCAGCAGAAGCAGCAGCAGCAGCCGCATCGGAGGTGCATTGTTTGTCGGCTGCTACGGGCGAGGTGCTCTGGTCAGCTACCCTGCCAACCCAAGCCCACACCATCTCCCTCCTCCCACACAACTCCATCCTCCTCACCAGCCTCTCCCCCTCCCTCTCCTTCTCCCTCACCACTCTCGATGTTGCCTCTGGCAAAATCACTGCCTCTGCCGCCTCTCCTCCTTCCTCCTCCTCCTCCTCCTCTTCCTCCTCTGCTACCTTTCATGGTCCTGTTGCTGCATATGTCACGGCGACTGGCACTGCTGTGGCTGTGGATTCGGCTTCTGGTAACATCCTCACTGCTGCCTTGGTTACGGCAGATGCTACCGCCGCTACAGTGCAAGAGCACAGTACCCCCCTCGACTCTCTCTTACCCAAGGAGCACTACCAGCCAGGAGCCATTGTTGCTGTGGTGCCAGAGAAAGCTCCAGGAAGCTTCTTCTGGCTGTCTGTGCCAGGAGCTGTGTTCCTTCTTTCAGCAGGGGCGGCAGACGGGCAGGCTGGGTCAGCTGGACAGGTGTCGCTGGTTGATTCTTTCCCTGGGTTGAGCGCTGTTAGTGCGAGCGTCGTGGGGGGAACAGCAGGGGCAACAGGAGGAGGAGGAGCAGGAGGAGGAGGAGGGGAGGGAGGGGAAGGGGGGAGTTTCTATTCGGGACTTGTGGGGTCGCAAGGCAGTGGTGATACCCTGAAGTTCCACATGCAGGTGAGATGCGAGGAGAGGAGAAGGTGCATATGTGTGTGTGGGGGGGCGTGCATGCGAGTTTGCCTGTGCGTTGCATGCATGCATGTGCTTCTTTTAATTAGTCGAGAGGAGTGTAAAGGCCTTGTGGGATTTCAAGGCACTGGTGACAAACACCCTGAAGTTCAACATACAGGTAGGATGTGAGGAGAGTTGACTTTTGAGTCGACTCAAAAGACAGGTGACAGACACCCTGAAGTTCAACATACAGGTAGGATGTGAGGAGAGTAGAGGGCTGTGTGTAAGTTTGTGGGCGTGCACGTGTGTGTTCTTCTCCCTTGTCCCATCCCTCTTCCGTCACTCTGTTCCCACCTCTCACCTCCTCCTCTTTTCTCCACCCCTCCCCGCACCCCCTCTCTCCGCTCCGCACAGCTTTTTTCCCCATGCTCCTCCCCCGCCCTTGGCCCCTGGCCTCTCTGACTCTCTCTGTGCCACTTCACCACGAATCCCCTGCTCGTGACTCCCTCATCGCCTTATCGTTTTCTCCCTTGCCCTCTCCTTCTTTCCTCGTCCTTGCAGGTGCAGCAGCTGCTTCTCTCCTCCTCCTCCTCCCCACCTGCCCTCCCTTGGACTCTGTCTCTGTGCCACCCAAGCGCGGCCCTCCTGCACGCGTTTTCCTCAATGCCTTATCATCCACTTTCCCCTTCCCCACGTCCCTCGTCCCCCGTCCCTGCAGGTGAACCAGCTGCTTCCCTCTTTCTCCTCCTCCTCTCCCCCTGCCCTCCTCTCGGACTCTGTCTCAGTGCCATCCCATCGCGGCCCTCCTGTTCGTGTTTTCCTCAATGCCTACGCGAGGGCAGCAGGGGCAGGGGGCAGGGGGCGGGGCAAGGATGAGAAAGCGGCGGGAGGGGCAGGAGAGGGGAAGGCGGGTGCGTTTGGGTTCAGGCTGCTGGTGGTGGGAGAGGATGACTCCTTGTCTCTGCTTCAGCAGGTGGGTTATCTCTAGCTGTGTTTCCTTCTCGCTTAATGTTTCTCATTGCTGGTGGATGAAGGATAGGAAGGGAATGGCTTTCCTCATTCCCCCCAACGCCCTGTTCCATTTCCGTCCTTTTTCTGCAGGGCGAGCTGGTGTGGTAAAGGGAAGAGGCCCTTGCCTCAGTAGTAGCGGTAACAATAGCAGAGCTAGCAGAGGAGGAGGAGGAGCTGACAGTGGCAGCAGTGGAGCATGACATCTACGAGTGGGCTTGCACACCCTATCTGACCTCCCCTTGCCCATTCCCCCAAACGTCCTGTTCCGTTTCCGCCCCTGTTTCTGCAGGGCGAGGTGGTGTGGGAGAGGGAGGAAGCCCTAGCATCAGTAGTAGCAGTGACAATAGCAGAGCTACCGGAGGAGGAGGAGGAGCTGTCAGTGGCAGCAGTGGAGCATGACATCTACGAGTGGGCTCGCACGCACCTGCTCAGAGCCAAGGTCTCTCTCAATCTCGGCTCAGCTGAGGAGCAGGCTTTGGTGCATCGCCTGCGCACCGCCTCCCCTGAAAAGATCAAGCCTTTCCGGGATAGGAATGGTTTTCGGCGCATTCTCCTGCTGCTGACCGCGCCAGGTGGGGGTAACAGAGGGGCAGGTGGAGGCAACAGAGCGTCAGGTGGAAACAGCAGAGGCGGGATCGGGAAGCTGTTTGCGTTGCATTCAGGGGATGGTCGGGTGCTTTGGGCTGCTGCACTGCCGTCAGGTGGTTCTTCAGGTAAAAGGGGCGCATCTGTGTTGTCACCTGAAGCGCTGGTGCTGTGGAGGGACCCCCACCGCACGTCACCTGACCAAACACCTGAAGCTCTGGTGCTGCAGATCAGGGAGCAGAAACAGAAGCAGGAGCAGGAGGAGGAGGTTAGTGAGGTCGCTCATGCGGCATTAGTGACCATAGTGAATGGGCATACGGGAGATGTGCTTGAATCGAAGGGCCTGCCCTTTGTGCCCCGTCTTGTTGCCCCCTTGCCCCTGGTGGGAAAAGATGAGCGGCGGCTGGTGATGCTGGTTGAAAAGGTAGAGAGGAACGAAGAGGAGCAGAAAGAGGGAGCAGCGGGGAAGGAGGGGAAGGAGGAGACAGATGGGAAAGAGAAGGGAGGTGCAGCGGCAGGGGGAGGGGGGAAGGCGAGGTGGTATGAGCCTGTGCGAGTGCATGTGTTCCCAGGGACGGAGGAGGCCAGGGGTCTGTTTGATGGGCACAAGAAGGAGGTGTTCTTTTACCTGGTGGACGCTGTAACGGGGGCTGTGGAGGGGTATAGCATTGGAGAGAGGGTGGAGGAGGAGGGAGGAAGTGGGAGTGGTGGGAGGAGCGATGGTGGGAGGTTGGGAGGGGGAGTGGTGTATGGAGCAGTGCTGGTGTGGCGGGTGGTGTTGCCTGCTGATTCCGAGGTCATTGCAGCCATTGCTGCGCCTAAGAGAGAGGAGGTGAGTGGATGTCTGTGTGGAGGAGGATAGTATGCGTGGTTGTGCATGGGTGTGGATGGGTGAACATGGGTGTGCATAGGTGTGCACGGGCGTCTATGGGTGTGCATTGTCTTTGCCCTGTCCCGTCGCTCATCAACCCCACTCCCCATCTCACACCCGTTCTCAGCCCCAGCACATGCAAGTGCATGCCCTGTTGCTTCCTGTCTTTGCCCGGTCATTGCCTCCAAACCTCAGGCTTGGAAACTTAACCCCCAAACTTCAACACTCATCCCCGCACCCCACCCTTCTCTCAGTCCCTGCTCACGCAAGTGCATGCCATGTCGTTTCCCTCTCTTTGCCGTGTCATTGCCCCCAATCCCCAGAACCAAACTTACAATACCAAGCTCCTACCCCCATCCCCCTGCCCCTCGACCCCCACCGCTGACCTCTCACCCCAACCCCTCTCAGTCCCAGCGCACGCAAGTGCGAGCACTGGGAGATCGCAGTGTGTAGTTCGCTTTTGAGTCGACTCAAAAGCGGAGATCGCAGTGTGTAGTTCAATCTACTCTCCAAGTGACTTTTGAGTCGACTCAAGAGCCTTCTCTTCTTGTCTTTGACTTGTTGCCCCTGAGCAAGCCATGTCCTTTCCCCTCCACACCCCCCTCTCCCAACACTCCACCCTCCGTGGCCACCCTTCTCAGTCTCAGCACGTCTCAAAACTTCACTTTTTACACGTGGCTTCTCTCTTTCTGGTTCCTGTAGATTTCTGTTAGCATGGAAGTTACCTTCCCGCTTACCTCTCCCAACACTCCACCCTCCGTGGCCACCCTTCTCAGTCTCAGCACGTCTCAAAACTTCACTCTTTACACGTGGCTTCTCTCTTTCTGGTTCCTGTAGATTTCTGTTAGCATGGAAGTTACCTTCCCGCTTACCTCTCCCAACACTCCACCCTCCGTGGCCACCCTTCTCAGTCTCAGCACGTCTCAAAACTTCACTTTTTACACGTGGCTTCTCTCTTTCTGGTTCCTGTAGATTTCTGTTAGCATGGAAGTTACCTTCCCGCTTACCTCTCCCAACACTCCACCCTCCGTGGCCACCCTTCTCAGTCTCAGCACGTCTCAAAACTTCACTCTTTACACGTGGCTTCTCTCTTTCTGGTTCCTGTAGATTTCTGTTAGCATGGAAGTTACCTTCCCGCTTACCTCTCCCAACACTCCACCCTCCGTGGCCACCCTTCTCAGTCTCAGCACACGCAAGTGCGAGCCCTGGGTGACCGCAGCGTGCAGTTCAAGCTACTTTCCAAGAACCTTCTCTTCCTGTCACTTGAGTTGTTGTTGCCCCCAAACAAGCCATTTCCTATCCCCTCCACATCCCCCTCCCTCTCCCGACCCCTCACCCTAACCCCCTCCTCCTCAGTCCCAGCACACGCAAGTGTGGGCCCTGGGAGATTGCAGCGTGCCCTTCAATCTACGTCCCAAGAACCTTCTCTTCTTATCTCTGTCATCAAGCTTCAAACCATGCTCTTGCATCCCCCATCCCACCCCAACCCCTCTCAGTCCCAGCACACACAAGTACGAGCCCTCGGCGACCGCAGCGTGCAGTTCAAGCTGCTTTCCAAGAACCTTCTCTTCCTCGCCACCACCACGCCTCCCGCCGCCACCGCTGCCTCTGCTTCTGCGTCTGCAGGCGCAGCAGGGGCGGGAGGGGAGGAGGGGGGAGCGGTGGTGGTGTATCTGGTTGACACGGTGGGAGGGCAGGTGTTGGAGAGGGTGGTTCATGCAGGCATGCAGGGACCCGTGCACGCTGTGAGTACGAGGGGTCTGTACTGGGATTGTACGGGTTTGTATGGGGCGGGTCTGTACGGGAGTTGGGGTTGCCACCAGTGCAGGGGGAGCAGGAAGGGCGGTGAAAAACAGGGAGGAGCGGTGGTGGTGTATCTGGTTGACACGGTGGGAGGGCAGGTGGTGGAGAGGGTGGTGCATGCAGGCATACAGGGACCCGTGCACGCTGTGAGTGTAACGGCCTTGTAGGGGGCTTGTACGAGGCTTGTCTGTATGGGTTGCCTTGCCAGCAGTGCTGGGAGGTGGAGGGTGGAGAGGAGTGGGGAGCGGTGGTGTTTTATCTGGTTGACACGGTGGGAGGACACTGTTCTTGCAAATTCTTAGAAATCTTGGAAGTGACTCCCGTTGTTGTGATATTCTCTCCTCTACGCAGCTGTCATCGTTTCATGGGCAGGTAATGGCAGAGAACTGGGTGGTATACCACCACTTCAACCAACCCCTCGGAAGCTCATGCTGTTCCCTCTGCCCTCTCCTGTGCTCATTCTCCTGTCTCGTTTCCTGATTTCTTGGGCAGGTCATGGCAGAGAACTGGGTGGTATACCATTACTTCAACCCTGCCGCCTCTCGTTACGAAGTCTCCACTATAGAGCTCCTCGATACCTCTCTTAAGGACGTCCCCGTCATAGACTACCTTAAATACGGCCTCAGCATCCCAGGAACGTCCAACCTCACTGCACCGCTTTCTGCCGCAGAAATTCCCTGGGGAAGGGTGAAGCGGCTGAGGCAGAGTTACTACTTCCCCTACGCATTGAGGTGTATTTCAGTGACATCCACCCTCGCGGGGATTACTAACAAGCATGTGCTCTTTGGCACGGCGCTTGATCAGGTGAGGGTGGGGCGAAGCAGGAAAATTGTGTAGATTTGATTGAGGTGTCCCCTTATTCTTCAAGCACTGCCGCCCTTCATATGGGTCAAGAGGAGTCGTCCCCTTATTCTTGTCCCTGTGTGTATTGTGCCTGTTGTCTGCCTTGTTTCTCACGTATCTAACACACCTCCGCTCCCCATTCTGTCCCTTTCTGTTTCACCTCCCGTTGGATCGTTTCAGATCTTGGCTCTCGACCGTCGATTCCTGGATCCTCGCAGGGTGCCTGAGCCGTCACAGCAGGACAAGGAGGCGGGCATTATGCCTTATAGTGACTCGTTGCCTGCTCCGGGGCAGGTGAGCAATACCTTAAAACGGGTTGCCACTTTATAACGAGTTGCTAGTTATAGCGAACATGAGTATGATGGCATCACAGCAGGACAAGGAGGCGGGCATCATGCCTTACAGTGACTCGATATCTGACCCACTGCTACTTCGAGGGCTGCATTAACATCCTATCCTTCCCCACTTGTCTGAAATCCACCACACGCATGCTGCTCTGCTCCCTGCTCCCCTTATGCCTCTTCTCTTCGCCCACAGGCTTATCTCACCCATCGCTACCGTATCGAGGGTCTGAGGCAACTTTTGAGTCGACTCAAAAGTCACGAAATCCACCACACGCATGCTGCTGTGCTCCCTGCTCCCCTTATGCCCCTCCCGTCACAGGCTTATCTCACCCATCGCTACCGTATCGAGGGTCTGAGGCACATTCTCTCCTTCCCCACGCGCCTGGAGTCCACCACCCTCGTGCTAGCTCACGGGCTGGACCTCTTCTTTGTTCGCACTGCTCCGTCTCGGGTGTTTGACTCCCTCGGGGAAGACTTCAGCTTTGCGCTGCTGCTGGGCACGATCGCTGTGCTGTCGATCGCGATTGTGGTCACTTGGGGGCTGTCGAGGAAGCAGGAGCTGAAGCAGCGGTGGAAGTGAGGGGTGGTGGAGGATGGGATGAGAGGGTGTGGAGAGGGTTTCAGCATTGTCTAGGAAGCAGGAGCTGAAGCAGCGGTGGAAGTGATGGATGGAGGATGGGGTTGGGGGAAGGGGAGGGAACGATCTCAATTTCTCGTGCCTTTGACTCCCTCAGGAGGATTTCAGCTTTGCCTTGCTGCTGGGAAGCATTGATGTGTTGTCAGTTGCGATACGGACGACCTGGGGGATTTCCATGACGCAGGAGCTGAAGCAGCGGTGGAAATGAGGAGTGGAAAATGAGGGAGTGGGTGGGGCGGGCGAGGAAGTGCGGGGAAGTTGAGAGTAGAGGATTTAGCATCGCTGGGGGGAAGGTTGTGGGGGAGTTATAGGTGGTCTTCAGCTTCATTCTGCTGCTCCTGTGCTCTCGATTACGATCGGGGTTACTGGGGACGGTAGGGAGCGGAAGCTGGAGCAGAGGTGAAAGTGAAGGGGAATACGGTACCATATGCCATGCCAATTGGTATGTGGGAGGAAAAGTGAGTGGTGGATTCCTCTGGTGGGGGGAGGAGGGGAGATTCACCTCAAAATCCTTCTGTGCTTTGAAACATCGACGCGATACTGCCTTGCGATGACAAGGTATTGCGACTCGTGAGCTTGAACAAAAGCTTGGTACTGAGGTAGGTGACTGCATTCAACTTTCAAACTCGCTGCTGCTTGGTTTCCTCAACCTCCTCTTGTCTTAAATCCTGGTTTTACTGGGAAAGAAGATGGTGGTTGATTTGTGGCCATTCCAATGAGAAGTGGATAAATGGTAAAGCGAGTAAGTACCTTACACGGATTTAGGGTTTAGGGTTGATTTTCATGTTGCTATTCAGACAGCGCCACTGATTAGCTTGAGTGGTATACAACGAAACACTCGAATCTTGTTTAAAATGGGTGGTCTTGAAGAGAGTGATTGGGTTGACTCTACCGAAGTCAAAGCTCTGGTGTCAGTGGTTCGGGGCGGGGTTTCGGGTGATTGACTTTACCGACTGCCACGTCATTTCACTCTTCCCGCCAACCACCCCACCCACTTTTGCCTCGAGTTTTTCCAACTCCATATATTTCCCATACAGACGATTTTCTTGATCTCATCAGTGGTGTTTATACTCGAGCAACTGAGCTTCTCGCGCCCCAGTATCTTCAATAATCCACGCAATGACATTAGTCCCTTTCATTAGCCGCCTTAAAGCCATGGTTTCAGCGGCGCGCACCGAACCGCCCTTTTCCTTGGAGCGCCTTCCCGACGACATTCTCGCGCTCGTCCTCCGCTCGCTCGCGCGGACCTCCTTCCGCCACGCGCTCGTTTCCAAGCGCTGGCTCCGCCTTTCCTCGGCTGCGCTCTCCCATTTGACCGTTCCGCATCGCGGTTTGAAGTCCTCTTTTCCGCATTTACACTACTCAGAGCCTCCGTGGCTCCCGCTCCCGCGGCTTCTTTCGGCGCTGCGCCGCTTTCCCACCCTCACGCACGTGTCGCTGGCCGAGTTTTCCATCTTATCCGCCGACGGCGACGCGCTCTTTCATTGTCTGGCCGCCACGTGTCCGCGTCTACTCCATCTAACGGTGGAGCATCAGTTTCGAATGTCAGTTACTGTAGACGGCCTCGCGTCGCTCTTCCAGGGATGTCGCAAGCTCAGGGAGTTCTTTCTATTCACCACCAACGGCCTCCCGCATCTCCCAGCGTCCCTCTCGCTCCTAACAGATCTCCAAACCCTCCACGTGTGCTCGAATACTCGCTATGACGAAGACTCGTTACAGGAGCTCGTTTCGCCGCCCGAGAGCGTAGGCGCGTTGCGGCAGCTGCGGGGATTGCGGATCAGCACGGGAACGAATTTCCGCGGTCTCGATGAGTGCGTGGGCCTTCTGAGCAACCTCCGCACGCTGAGCATTACCACTAGTACTGAACTCTTTTCAGAACGCGTCACAAAGCTTCCAGACGCAATTGGCGACTTGTCTCTTCTGGAAACCCTAGAAATTGAACTGGATGGGCTAGAGAACATTCCGGAATCTTTCCAACTGCTGACCGGGCTCAAAACCCTCTCGCTCGAATGCGAGAGTCTGCTATGCCTGCCCGAAAATGTTATGGCGGGGCTGACTCAGCTGCAGCATCTTTCCATCAACGGCTGTGGTTCCCTCGAGATTCTCCCAGAGAGCATCTGCTTCCTCCCCCTCTCCTCCCTCTCCATCTCCTGCTGCTACTCACTCACCGCACTCCCTCACCACATCGGCGCTTTGTCCCACCTGCAAACCCTAAAGCTCCACTACCTTTATTATATCCGGGCTCTGCCCGACAGCCTGGGTAATTTACCACGGTTGAAAACGCTCGAGCTGGATGATCTGCCCGCGCTGGAGCATCTGCCCGATAAAATTTGTGACGGCAGCCTGCCGGCATGCTTGGAAAACCTGTTTCTGTCGCGGTGCGAGAAGCTACAGGAGCTTCCTCCCTCATTGTACATGCTGACTCAATTAGAATCACTCCATATCGTGTCATGCTCCCTTATAGAGTCTCTGAAGCCGCTGACCCCTCCATCCTTCCCTGAAGGATCCGGAAGTGAGTCTGGAAGTGAGTCAAGGTGATTCAGCCTGACTGTAATATTGATTACAGCTGTTCTTTGCACTGCTGCAGTCTATGCCGCGATGCTGCTGATTTTCGTACTGCTCCTCACCGTGCAACAGCCCTAGCACTGCTCTCCACCGCACAAGGCTGAATCGGTGATGCTTGTCCCTGCTGCCCTGCTCGCTTCCGCTGCAGCAAGAAGCGAGAACGTTGTCGCTGTCCTTGTATCGCTGCTGCTTCTTGTGGTGGTGCTGCTGGTCTCTCTGATTCCCACTGCCTGGCTCAATCCAGCCATGCTGCTTGCTGGTGCCTCTGCCCCTGCCCCTGCTCCTGCCCCTGCCTCTGCCTCTGCTGTTGCCCCTGCCTCACTCTCTCCCCCTCCCCCTTGCTGCCCCTGCCCCTGCCCCTGCCCCTGCCCCTGCCCCTGCCCCTGCCCCTGCCCCTGTATGTATCTCCTCTCTTAAACTCTACAGCAAAGACCACCGAACAACACCCAGGCCTAGTGTCCCTCACAGAGTTACAAGTTTACTTCTGCCCGCTCATCTCCTCCCTCCCAGAAGACTTCTCATTCCCTGCCCTTCACACTCTCACCCTACACTCCCTGGGAAACCTGAATAATCTCCTGGACCTATCCCGCAAGCAACTGCCCAAACTGCAACATCTGCATTTGGAGGGGGTGGGGGCCGATTCATCCCTCTCTCTGTTTGACTGCATACTCGGAGTGGGGTCAAGGAGAATGTGGCTTTTGCTGCACGCCAAGCCTCTGTTTCTGCTTCTGAGGCTGCTGGATTTACTGCTGCAGCTGGCTTTGCTGTGGATAATGAAGGGCGGTGCAGTGCTGCAGGGTTTCTTCGCTTGGTCGGCTAGCCTTGCTCGGCAATCGTGCAGGGTAGTGCGCGGGTGGTGTGGCGGGGAGAGGTAAGAGAGCAACCCGCTTGTTGTAACTCGTGATTGACTTGAAATGTTTGGATAATGTGTGTATAAACGTGTTGAAACATGAGACATTTCGGTTGAAACATGAGACTCTTCAGTTGATACAGTAATATTTCACCAACGCAACGATGCGAGAATCGTCACAAACCAGGATACAGGGGGCGCGATGCGGTTCGATGTCCTCGAGATAGCGTGTCGTGGCGCCAGGGTGTCAGGAAATTGTCGAGGCTGTCTCGGTTCGGGTGAAAGCGTCGCATGCCAGCCAGCCAACGCCTATGTTCGGCTTCCACAAGATGCTCGGGAGGAAGTCGGATCGGGTCACCAATACCGCTCCACACCACTTCTCCCGGTCGAGAAGTCGGAGAATTCGAGGTTCCTCCAACGTCTGTACCAGGGAATATGGGACTAATTTCTAGGATACAAATTTCAGGGAGTTCCCACGGCGCCATTCTTGTACGTTATACGCACCTTGAGGTTCCGTAAACATAGGCCCGAAGGATTTGGAACGCGGTGCTTCTCATAGTACAACCTTGCAGAGCTGAGTGAGAAACTTCTACAATGAAGTGTTTGTTAGGCATACTCTAGACAACGGACGACTGAGAGCGACAGAGCTGTCCAAACTTCCTCTCCCTTTCGCATCCACGCGATGGCTTTTCTTCGCCGCCTACAAGCCATAGTTTCACCCGCGCGCACCGAGCCGCCCTTCCCCCTGGAGAGCCTCCCTGATGACGTTCTCGCGCTCGTCCTCCGCTCGCTCGCGCAGACCTCCTTCCGCCACGCACACGTTTCCAAGCGCTGGCTCCGCCTCGCCACGGCCTCGCGCTCCCATTTGACCGTTCAGAATCTCGGCTTTTAGAAAACTCCTGAAATGAAGAAACGCGATCCAGAGCGCTTCTACAGCCCGCAGCTTGCGTGGCTTCCGCTCCCGCGCCTTCTTTCCGCGCTGCGCCGCTTCCCCGCCCTCACGCACGTGTCGCTGGGCGAGTTTTCCATCTTATCCGCCGACGGCGACGCGCTGTTTAACTGTCTGGCCGCCACGTGTCCGCGCCTGCTCCATCTAACGGTGGAGCATCAGCTTCGAATGTCGGTTACTGTAGACGGGCTCGCGTCGCTCTTCCATGGATGTCGGAAGCTAAGGGAACTCCGACTGCTGACCACCAACGGCCTCCCGCATCTCCCGGCGTCCCTCTCGCTGCTCACAGATCTCCAAACCCTCCACGTGTGCTTGCATCGTTGTGATCGCGAAGTCTCGTTACAAGAGCTCGTTTCGCCGCCCGAGAGCATCGGCGCGCTGCAGCAGCTGCGGGAATTGCGGATCAGCGCGGGAACGAATTTCCGCGGTCTCGACGAGTGCGTGGGCCTTCTGAGAAACCTCCGCACGCTTAGCATTAGTAGTGGGCCCTATTCGGAAAATGTCGCTGAGCTTCCTGAAGCAATCGGCGACTTGGCTCTGCTGGAAACCATGGAAATCGATCTGGGTGGGCTAGAGAGCGTCCCGGAATCTTTCCAACTGCTGACCGGACTGAAAACCCTCTCGCTCCAATCCATACGTCTGCAAATCCTGCCAGGAGATGTTATATCGGCGCTGACTCAGCTACAGCATCTTTCCATCAACGGCTGTGATTCCCTCGAGATCCTCCCAGAAAGCATCTGCTTCCTCCCCCTCTCCTCACTCTCCATCTCCTCCTCCTCCTCCCTGACCTCCCTCCCACACCACATCGGCGCCTTATCCCATCTGGAAACCCTACAGCTCCTCGACCTTCATAATGTCTGGGCTTTGCCCGAAAGCCTGGGTAATTTACCCCGGTTGAAAACACTCGAGCTGGGACTGCCCGCGCTGGAGCATCTGCCCGAGGGATTTTGTGTCGGCAGCCTGCCAGCATGCCTGGAAAAGCTGAGCCTGACGGGGTGCGAGCAGCTTAAGGAGCTTCCTCCCTCTCTGTACACTCTGACTCGCTTAGAATCACTCCACATCGAATCATGCTCCCTTATAGAGTCTCTGAAGCCGCTGACCCAACCACCCCTCCCTGAATGGTGTGAGCGTGAGTCAAAACCGTTCAGGCTGGCTGAAAGGGTGACCACTGGTGCAGTCTGCACTGCTGAAGTTTTTGCCTTGATGCTGCTGATCTCCGTACCGCTCCACACCATGCAAGAGCTCATAGCACCGTTCTTTGCCGCACACGACATCCGACTTCCGGTGATGCTTGTCCCTGCTACCGTGCTCGTTTTTGCTGCCGCAAGAAGCAAAAACACCTTTGCCGTCGTTTGGTCGCTGATTCTTCTCGTGGTGGTGCTCCTGATCGCTCTGGTTCCCCGTGCTTGGCTCTATCCTGCCATGCTGCTTGCTGCAGCACTGCTGGTGTCCACCTTCCTATGTGTCTCTGCTTGTATCTCGGCCTATCTCTCTGCCTCTGTACCTGCACCAAATATCACCGAACAACACCCGGGCCTAATGTCCCTCACCGAATTAAAAGTTTCCAACTGCCCGCTCATCTCTTCCCTCCCAGAAAACTTCTCCTTCCCTGCCCTTCACACGCTCACCCTACACTCCATGGGCAACCTGAATGTTCTCCGGGACTTGTCCAACAAGCAACTGCCCAAATTGCGACATCTGGATTTGAAGGGGGTGGGCAGGGTGTCAGACGTGGCATTTCTTATTGACTGCTTTCCTGGTGTGCGTGCGAAGAGAATGATGCTACTGGTGCATGCCTTTCCTCTGTTTGTGCTTCTGGTGTGGCTGGATTTACTGCTGGTGTGTTTGTGCTTTCCTTTGTTCTTGATATGGAAGGGCTGTTCAGCGCTGCAGGGTGCATACAATCGGTTGGCGGGTCTTGCACGGCAACTTTTGAGACGTCTCAATTGTCTGCTGCGGCTGGCTTTGTTGTGGATATGGAAGGGCTTTACAGTGCTGCAGGGTGTCTGCACGTGGTCGGCTGGCCTTGCACAGCAAGCGTGCAGGTTAGCGTACGGGCGGTATGTGTGGAGGTGGAAGAAAACATCCCACTTGTAAGTTGTGACTCGTGACAATTGTACAACGCACGGGCCAATACAGACAGGTGGTACCACGGTACCATAGGAGTTGGCAGAAAAACATGCTGGTCTCAACAACCCCTGATATAAACTAGATTCAATGGTCGATGCACAATAGTCCAAGGTGATTGAAGCGTATGATAGTATATGCTTGTACCGATAGCACAAGCTGCTACTGTCTTGGATTGTCCTGCCCTATGTAGGGTTGCCCACAGGTTGGACCTGGACGGGGTGTTCGTGACTGTAAAGAGTGGCCCTTTGTTGTAGGGTTTAAGAGATGATATCAAGGAGGTAAATTTCTTACAATAATGGGAGGGACCACAATTGTTCTGCTTTAGTCATACTTGCCACCCGATGCTAGTTTCCCTAACAAGAGTACTCCCCTTTGGGTTCAATACAGCAGCAGCTAGCAGTGCCACTGCCAGCAGGGGAAACGCATAAGTGCCAGTGCCAGCAGCAGCACTCATCAGTGCGCAGCAGCAGCAGCAACCTTCAATGGGCACTCATCAGTGCGCAGCAGCAGCGACCTTCAAGGGGCTGCCAGCACTCGCTCCCCCACCAGCGCCAACAGCCATGGAGCTTACAAGCGCACCAACGCCCTCCTTACCAGCAGCAGCCTTGCAAGAACCTGCCCCTGCAGCAGCTGCCCTGACACGAACAGCCCGAGACTTGCTGCGTGCCTTGGAAAGCATGACAGAGCGCTGGGGGAGCATTGGAATAGCAGCAGACTTGAAACTGCTGCTGCTGTTGGTGATGCTGCTGCTGGTAGTTGCAATGCTGCCACCAGAGACAGTATCTGCCACCTCCGCATTCTCTGAACCTTCCTTGATCTTCTTCAGACGTCTCCGTTCCACCCTCGCTCCAATCGCCTGGCCAATAACGGAGGCCGCTATAGTGAAGGCCATGGCGTATTTCGGCATGAGCGCAGCCTTTCGCAGCACGGCGACCAGCGGAACGGAAGCATGCACGGCGATGATCCACTGTGGCGAAAACTTTTCGCAATGCTCTCGCCAAACACCCAGCGGGATGTTCAGCATCATGCCGATCGTGCCTATAGCGAGTGTTCTTATCGGGAGCGCCTGCGGCCGGAGGGCTTTCATAGCGGGGGTCTTGGCGACGGCTGCGCGCAATGCGATGATAGGAGCCGGGCAGCGATATTGGATTCCGGCCGGGGGACGGATCGCCGCTGCGATGAGCGGCACCACTCGCGAAAACGCTCGGTAGGACTTCGCGATCGGGCAGTTACCCGTCGTGAGCCATTCTTCACCTTCGGCTTCGTGGACAGACTCTCGTTCCTGAGAAGGACGATGGGGAAGGGGATGGACGGTCCACGGTTAGAATCCAGTTTGAGATCCGTAATGCGGACGGAGAAAGATCGCAATGTTGACGACGTAGGATCGCATGAGACTATTGCTGCCGCTGGCTCAACGACAAGGTTACCAACTACGGCTAACAGAATAGCCAACGATCCACTGACCGTTTACCATTGTATAAGCTATCGAGCATGATCAACGCTGAAGCAGCAGCTGGCAGGACGATACAACAACAGAGTGAAAGCTATAGCATCCTTAGACATCTGAACAGGGTACACACCTTTGAAGCTTCCTCCTCGCGACGCCTCTTCTCCTCCTGCTCCTTCCGTCTCTGCTGCTCCTTGCTGCTCTCCCCGCGCGATCGGAAAGAATCATAACTGAACGGTCCAGATGGGCCGAACACCGACAGGCTGATCGTGGCCGCTGACGCACCCAGACCGCCTGCGAACGCCGCAGCATACGGACAAACCTCCTGATCCTGCTCTCCAGCGGTCTCATAACCCGTCAGGGAAAAGGCGTTAGTGGTGTCCTTCGCGGTTGAAACGCTCTGTGATGACTTCTCAGCGGTAATCGCGGAAGCATGGAGCGTGGGATTGACGGAAAGCGACTGGCTGATCTGGCCATCGTTGCTTTCGCCTGACTTAACAGAGACGAGGTCGGAAGTCTTCGCGAGCGGGACAACTCCCGTTTCGCCGTGAAAGAGCCTGAACGCGACCTCGAAAGAGGACGAAGTTTCCTCGAAGATGGGTTTCTTTCCCGAAAGAGCGGCGGAAGCGGGACAGAGGTCCCCGAGCGAGTGGGAAAGAGGAGCTAAATGCGGAGCGGAGCACGAGGAAAGCGACACGTTTCGGAGGAAAGGACACATCTGAGCGGCGTGCTCCATGGCGAGCTTCTTCATATCCATTTTCAGTGAAACGCTAGCAAAATCACACACTGATCGGCTGAACTGCAGCAGGTCCAGAGAAACTATGGCGGCTGTGTAGAAACTAGGCGAACCAGACCAGGTCACCAGGCGGCAAGCAGCTTGAATGAAACCCTAGCTCGAGTGGAAACCAGACTTGAGAAGAAAAGCTGGTTTCAGAAGCTTCTGTTGAGGAAAAGGGGCTCTTGTAGGTAAACCCCTTGACGGTCCCTTCGGCATATTCGAATGTCCAACGGTCCCTCCCGCCCAAGGTCCCTTGGGGTTGGCTGGGTGGGTGTATTCTCGTAAAACCGGGCAGAAAAACTTCAAATTCGGTCAGGAAGACGAATTGGTCTGAACGGTTCCGTCTGAGCAGACGACGGGTTACCTGACGATGACACAGCTCGTGTGGGGATGCGACGTCACGCGACGGTGCTGGTGTTTCGCGGCTATCGTTTACCGCGCGAATACTGCTTCCGGACTGGTCAACGTCCACGCACGAACCTGTGCACGGGCAGGGCTCCACTATTGACGGGTAAACGCTCTGAAATTCCGGAAAGCTTCTGGGTTCCCAACGAAACCTCTCAGGGCGTGGAACATTTCGGAAAATTTTCAAACGAAACGTACCGAATGAACGGTTGAAAATGGTCCATGTTTTTAAATGCTTTGTTCTAGTAGGATTTAATACGTTTCAGAGCGGTATATTTCCGAACCGAACGTTCGTTCAGTAAAATAGCCCAAATGTTCCACGCCCTCATGGCTGCTCTCCCAACGCTTCGTCGCCCATTCAATGGTTTGTGCAGCAGAGCAATTCTGCTGCTGCATTTTTCCTGCATTTCCTGGCAATAGGGGAGGGCTAGCTAATGGAAGCACTACAGTCGGTGCTCATTTCAAGAACACCAGGTAGGCGGGCGGCATGTGAGTGAAACGAGTTTTGCTGTCTTCGCCACATTCTCCATTGTCGCCACGGGCAAAATTGTGATTGTAAAATGAAATTGGAATGTGAAACGAGTCTAGGGGTTTAAGTTCGTAACCAGGTAAACAATTCTGATGACAGGCAGCCGTTGTTGTTTATGAACTGTAGATGTTTTTCTTCCTCGACTTGGTGACTGTACCCCGAAATCAGCACAATCACCACTCACAGGCAAAACGTTCGCGAGTGACTGATTTTCTAATTGTGGTGAGAAATTTTTTGTGATAGGCTGAGCATCGACTGTATGCGGTGTTGGCCGTCATTGCCAGCGAGACAAAATGCGAATCGAAAATGCGCGTGCCAGACAAGTGCACGGCTGCGATGGTCTGGTGGTGTCTTGGAAGTGGTGAGATGACTCGCCAAGCCAGTGTCGGTGCCACGCGAGTGCAACGTCCGACTTGGAATGGATGAGAGTGGTCGGTCACGTGCTGAGCTGGTCAGTTGAAAAGGAGAATACAAGAAGTTCCGTGAATAACTTCAAGCACATGAGCTCGTTCTCATGTACAGATGAACCCCAATATACTCACATTCTTGACCTGGAATGACAGCCAACAAATGTAGCTGATGCTCTCATTGTACGCATCTTCTTCGTGGTGCGTTAGTTGTACTATGGCAGTAAATAATAACAGTTAAGAAACTGGTATTGAATTAAACTTCATTAACCACTTTCTTCATGGATGTAGAATGCGTTTTTGTCAAATATTATAGCCTGTAGTGGGTTGGGCTATATGGGGTACAACTAGTTAGGGTTAGGTTATGTACCCCAATTCTGTCAATGCAACACATTCCGCTGTAGTTCTCATTCAGACATGGTATCAGCAGTAGGTTAGCGCTCCTAGCCCTAGGCCCGCCCGTCCCTACCATTAGGGTTACCACTGCGCCCCGCCAGCCCGCCAGCGCCCTACCCCACGCCCCAGCCGGCGCGCCCCTCCCCTCCCCGCCCTTAGCCAGCATGCACGCCAGCCAGCCAGCGCGCCAGCCAGCCAGCGCGCCTGCCAACCAGCGCGCTAGCCCGCCAGCCAACCAGCGCGCCGGCCAGCCTGCGCGCCAGCCCGCTTGCACGCCAGCCCGCCAGCGCGCCCGCCAGCGGGCACACCAGCGAGCCCGCCAGCTCGCCTGCCAGCGCGCCCGCCAGCGAGCTCGCCAGCGCGCCCGCCAGCGAGCCCGCCAGCGCGCCCGCCAGCACGCACGCCAGCGCGCCCGCTAGCGCGCCCGCCAGCGCCCCGCGCCAGCGGGCCCCGCCGGCGCGCACGCCAGCGCGCCGCGCCCGCCAGCGCGCGCCCTGCCTAGCCGCCCGCCAGCGCGCCGCGCCCGCGCGCCACGCCAGCCAGCGCGCCCCGCCAGCGCGCGCCCCGCCGCCCCGCGCCCAGCCAGAACGCGCCCCGCCTGCGCGCACCCGCCTCGCACTCACCTCCCTCTCCTCCTCCTCTCGCGGCTGGCGGCCGCTATCACTTGTTCTCGCCCCTCATGGCGACGTCTCGCGTGCTCCGTTTCGACCCTGAGGGGCGCGCGATCGACTTTAGTACCTGGCTGACGCAGGCCCAGCGCCACCTTAGGAGCCAGCGCCAGGATGGCGTGCACCTGTTTGCGCATGCGTCCGGTGCTCTGCCCGCCCCGCCGCAGCCTACACCGCTGCCCACTACCCCACCGCCTACTTCCGAGCAGGAGGCTGAGTACCAGCGCCGGTTCCTCGCTCGTGACGTGTGGGAGTCTCGTGACGCTGCTGCCTGCCTCGCCCTGACCGACCTTCTCCCGCCGACTGAGGCCGTCCACTTCACTCAGGTCGAGTCTGCTGCAGCCCTTTACACTGCTATTGTTGCTCGCTACTCCACTCCCTCCTCTGCCTCCCTCAGCCGCCTTCTCGTCCCCTTTATCTACCCTGACCTCGCCTCCTTTGAGACTGTCGCTGACCTCGCTACCCACCTGCGCTCCCTTGAAGCTCGCTTCAAGGCCGCTTGCACTGAGGAACAGCTTGCCCTTGCACCCCCCCCCATGTGGCTCACTATTCACTGGTTAGTCACTCGCCTCCCTGACCGTCTAGCCACAGCCCGCGACGCGCTTCTCCTGAAGCACCCCACTGAGCTTACTATCGATCTTCTTGAGACCGCTCTCTCGAAGATCGAGAGTAACCTCCTCGCTGTTGCCTCCGCCTCTTCCGCGCCTCCTCCTCGTCTCTTTGAGGGGTGTGCGGTACCACAGCTTCCCACCTTCACTGCCTCGCTTGCCACTGCCGCGTCTTCTGCCTCTGAGGAGACGGCGGCCGTTTCTGTCTCTGGCGGACAGAAACGTGGCAAGTCCGGCAAGAAGGGAGGGAAGGGCGGCGGGGGTTCTGGGGGTGTTGCGGGTGGCGGCGGTGGCGGTAGTACTAGTGGCGGGGGTGGCGGCGGGGGTGACTCGGGACCTGACGGCTCTCCTCTAGACGGTGGTGAGGGGTTTCCGCAGCAGCAGCAGCAGACTCCTCCGCAGCTGCCACCGCCTGGACAGCAGCAGCGGCAGGGACAGCAGCAGCAGCGCCAGGGCCAGCAGCAGCCCCAGCAGTGGGGCACTCAGCAGCAGTGGGGCACTCAGCAGCAGTGGGGTCCTTCGCAGCAGTGGGGCCCCCCGCAGCAGTGGAGACCTACGGGCCCCCCGAGCACTGGGCGCAGTGGTGCCCCTTCTAGTCGGCCGCTCGGCCGGCCGCGACGTTGGTCCCTGTGAGTACTGGATCCTGACGGGTCTGCGCAGGGCACGTACTGCGGCCGCCCTGACCACTCTGCTGCACGCTGCTTCAGCCGTCTCGACGACCTGTACGTCCTGCACCACGGCCCCTCCGCTCCCCCGCCACCGCGCTGGGGACCACTCCTTGCTCGTGGTGTTGCGGTGTTTGATATGTCTATGGATGATGCTAGGTCTTATGCGATGTATGCTGATGTTGACTATAGTGCTGCTGGATCTGTTTACTTGCCTGTACCTAGCGTAGGATCTTTGCCTGTTGCTAGAGTAGGTGCTGGTGTAGGATCCTGTCTAGCTACTGGTACTGGTGCTCCCTCGGCGGACGCGTCGCTCTCCTTCACACTGGACTCCGGAGCGACGCAGTGCTTCTTCCGCGACAGCACGACTCTTACTCCACTCTCGGCGCCGGTTCCTGTAGCACTGGCTGATCCCTCTTCGGGACCGGTCATTGCGACTCACGCCACTACCCTCCCGTGCCCAGCTGCCCCTTCCGGTTCTCTGACCGGCCTCCACGTTCCTACTTTCTCTAGGAACCTGGTTGGTGTGGCTCCTCTGGCGAGACAGCACGTCGGGGTCTGGTTTGAGCCTTCTGGTGACACTGCAGTCTGTGTGGACGGTGACACGTACGCCCCTCTGGCCACTTTTCGTCAGGAGTCGGGCTCTGGTCTGTACACCCTCCACACCGACACCCGTCCGGTTCCCCCGTCCCACCAGGTAGCCAGGTCCAGTCAGGTAGCTGTGCCAGGTCTAGTGGCTGCGTCGTGCTCGTGTCGGTCGCTGTCCCACCCCTGCTCCTTCGGTACCCCCCCCTGGTCCTGCTCCGTCTGGTGTGTCCCACGCTACTCCCCCCCCCTCGGTACCCCCCCAGGTCTCACCTCCTTCCCCACAGTCGTCCTCACAGCCTCCGCAGCAGCCGTCAGCGCTTCCTTTACCGGCCACTGCGGACTCTGAGGGTGTTGGTGCTCGGGGTGAGGGCTCTGGCGGTGCTCGCTCTGGGGGTGCTGGCGTTGGAGCTGTTCGTGCACCTACAGGAGCCGCCCGTTCTGGGGGTGTTGGCGTTGGCGCTGAGCGTGCACCCGCCGCGGCTGCCCGTTCTGGTGGTGCTGGAGCTGGTGGTATTTATGGAGCTGGAGAGTCTGAGGCTGGTGCTGGTGCCACTGGAGGCACCCCGACTGGGGGTGCGGGTCCACCTCCTACAGGTACTAGTCGTGCTGCCGCAGGGGGTACACGCTCTGGGGGTTCTCAGCCGGGTGCTGTTGAGGGTGGAGCCGGTTCTTCTTCTTCGTCTCCTGACACCACTCCTCCTCCTCACCCCTACCTGACTCGACACCAGACCCGTCTTCGTCTTGAGCGTGAGGAGCAGCAGCGTTTGGAGCGTGAGAGGTTGGAGGTTCAGCAGCGGGTGGAGCGTGAGAGGCTGGAGTTGCAGCGGGAGCAGCAGCAGCAGCAGCAGCAGCAGCAGCAGCAGCAGCAGCAGCAGCAGCAGCAGCAGCAGCAGCAGCCGCCGCAGCAGCAGCAGCAGCCGCCGCAGCAGCCGGAGCAGCCTCCGGCCTCTGTTACTGGCCTTCGGGCCCTTGGTCTCCCCTCCTCCTCTCCTCCTGTGTTCGGTCCGACGTTTCCTCCTCCGGACTCAGCTCCGGCTGTGTTCCCTCGTTCTCAGTCTCCTCCGTCTCCCGCTCCGTCTCCCACTCCTCTCTCCCACACTTGGGCCTCTCGTCCTCCTCGTGCTCGTCCCTCGTCACCTGTCCGTGACCTTCGTACCGTGTTGTTTCGTCCTAGTCCTCCTCGTTCTCCTCCGTCTGTTCTTCCTCGTCCTCCTGAGTCGTCCCTCACTGCCTCCCTGTCTACTCCGGTCACTGACTACTACCGCACGTACCGCCCCACTCTCTCTCGTGTTCTCGCCTCTCTTGTTACAGACCCTCGTGCCTCTCCTTCCTCCGTCGCGGTCCTCACTGCCGCTGTCACAGACTTTACTGCTACGCGTCGCCTTGACTACGCCACTCGCGTTGTGGCGGCTCCTCCTGTCCGTCCTCTGTCCGCCGGGGGTGAGTTTGCCCTTGGCTGTGCCGTCCTAGAGGATAGACAGTTTGAGCTAGAGTTCCTGGCAGCCGCTTCACCTCATCTCTGTGCCATGCTGCTCGCTCCTGAGGGAGACCCCGACGCTCCTGACATACCTACTCCTCGCACTTACGCTGAGGCAGTGTCAGGGCCTTGGGCCTCTCAGTGGAGAGCTGCCATGGACGCAGAGATGGCCTCCTACAGGTCCACAGGCACTTACGTTGACGAGGTTCCCCCCCCAGGGGCGAACATTGTTGACGGCATGTGGATCTTCAAGGTGAAGCGGCCGCCGGGATCTCCTCCAGTCTTCAAGGCACGCTACGTGGCTAGAGGTTTCAGTCAGCGTGAGGGAGTTGACTTCTTTCAGACCTTTGCGCCCACCCCGAAGATGACCACTCTTCGGGTGTTACTGCACGTAGCAGCGCAGAGAGACTACGAGCTACACTCTCTCGACTTCTCCACTGCCTTCTTGCAGGGCAGCCTACACGAGGAGATCTGGCTGCGTCGTCCTCCGGGCTTCACTGGCACTTTCCCGCCTGGGACCCAGTGGAGCCTCAGACGACCGGTCTACGGTCTCCGCCAGGCACCCCGTGAGTGGCACGACACTCTCCGCTCTACTCTGTCCGACCTTGGGTTTGAGCCGTCTTCCGCCGACCCGTCGCTGTTTGTTCGTCGTGGGCGCACACCTTTCTTTGTTCTTGTCTACGTTGACGACCTGGTTTTTGCCACAGCCGACACAGTTGCACTGGCGGAGGTGAAGTCCGAACTGCAGAAGAGACACACCTGCACTGACCTTGGGGAACTGCGCCGCTACCTTGGCCTGCAGATCTCCAGGGACAGAGCCGCTCGCACCATCACTCTGACTCAGTCACACATGGTGCAGCAGGTCCTTCAGCGGTTCGGGCTTCAGCACTCCTCTCCTCCTCCCACCCCTCTTGCTGTAGACCACAGACTCACTGGGCCTTTTCCTGACGAGCCGTTCGAGCCCAGTGGTCCCTACGCAGAGTTGGTGGGCTGCCTCATGTACCTGATGACGTGCACTCGCCCGGACCTCGCCTTCCCTCTTAGCATCCTTTCTCGCTTTGTTGCGACAGGGAGACACCGTCCTGTTCACTGGGCGGCGGCTAAGAGGGTGGCGAAGTACCTCGGCGCGACATCAGACATGGGGCTTGTACTTGGAGGGACACAGCCAGTTGTACTCACCGGTCACTGCGACTCCTCCTACGCCGACGACGTTGAGTCACAGAGGTCTACACAGGGTTACTGTTTCAGCCTGGGCTCTGGAGCTGTTTCGTGGAGGTCTACTCGGTCCTCCTCTGTTGCGACTTCTACCGCAGAGGCCGAGATCTACGCTGGAGCCCTCGCTGCACAGGAGCTACGCTGGTTGACCTTCTTGCTCACTGACCTTGGTGAGTGGCCGAGCTCTGCACCGACCTTGTTTGCTGACAACAAGGCGATGATTCTCCTGTGTCGTGAGCCTCGACTGGAGAGCAGAGTGAAGCACATCGACGTCAGGTACTTCCTCCTTCGAGAGTTGCAGAGACGCGGGCAGGCACGTCTGGACTTCGTGGCCTCCGAGGCCAACACTGCAGACATCTTCACCAAGGCCCTCCAGCCTTGTGACCACCGCCGGTTTTGTCAACAGTTAGGCCTCGTTGAGACTGGGTCTAGTTGACTGCTGTAGGGTGCTCTTTGTCTGTTGCTTGCTTGTACCTCATATATATTTGTTTGCACACTTTTGGATTGGCCTTGTGGCCCTTTGCTTGTGCTCAGATTAGGTGGTGACGTTGTGATCCACCCTGAGCTTTGTTTTCTTTCTCTTGCTTTTGACTGGTCTTGTGACCGTAGGTTGCTTGTTGTTGATTGGCCTTCCCCACTTAGGCTATGGGGGTGTGTCAAATATTATAGCCTGTAGTGGGTTGGGCTATATGGGGTACAACTAGTTAGGGTTAGGTTATGTACCCCAATTCTGTCAATGCAACACATTCCGCTGTAGTTCTCATTCAGACAGTTTTTTCTCTCTTGGGTAATGCTCATATGATACAATCTGAATGTCCTACCCCACACCAGTGACCAAGCATGATTGCTTTCGACAATGGAAGCTCACGCAGGCTGGCAAGCTGGAAGCTTACTGACTCTTATCTCACCAAATCACCCCCCTGTAACCAGGATGGCAGCGGCAGCAGCCCACAGTACCTTCAAGGCGCCCAGAAAACAAACCGGTATCCCACAACATCTAAGCTCCTCATCTCATTCCATTTTGAAGCAGGGCAGCCGCGGCAGCCCAAAGCACTTTGGGAAACTCTACCATCTCCATTGTCAGATCAATGTGCGCATCCGCCTCCAAGAAATCAAATTCACACGGAATTTCTTGATTGGCAGACGCTCCTCTATCCACTCCTTGACTGTCAGCTTTCTCAGACCCGTATGCCTGCAGCATGGCAAACGCCAGGTCGACCTGCATTTTAAAAGGCTTGGTAGCCCGGGGATCGTCGGCCAATGGCGTGCCGGCAAGTGGCAGCGAGATCCCGTAGTCGAGTGACCCTAGCGTGCCACCTAGGCACGACGAGCTCACTGCGATTGGCCGATTCTTGAGGCCCCCCACAGTCACCATGGGAACATTGAATTTCCGTTTTAAAATGTGAGTTAAAACTGCGCAGGCAGAGAAGCAGGTTCCATCAGAAACCACCACCATGGGCAGCCCGCTGAAATCATCCGATTGGTCGTACAGCGTCAGCATCTCCGTCAGCTTCACCCGGGCAGAATAATTTCCAGCCTGCCCGTCCTCCGAGTACTGAATCTCCTGAAACGGCCCGAAATCCGCCGGTCCTTTCAACCCAGCGCTCTCCGCCACGTTGCAGTAATTCGACGCGTTATAAAAGAAAGTACTGCTACTTTGAATGAGTCGCGCAGTGTAGTCGTTTCCGATCATCAGCTGCTGCGGCATCTGCAGCTGCCCGGGAGGGGTCTTAGCAGGCCCGGCTAACGCCCTCACCACTCCATAGGCAGTCTGAATAATGCCTCCACTGTTCCCCCGCACGTCCAGCACAATGCGCTTGCCACGCCTGTAAGGGGTATAACAAGAGTCGGAGTGACAGTGAGTAACTAGAGTGATGGGATTTGAAGGCCTAGATGATGCCTCCACTGTTGCCCCGCACGTCCAGAACAATGCGCTTGCCACGCCTGTAAGGGGATATAAAGAGAGGGTAGTGTGACAGGAGGTGAGTGCGTCAGCGCCCGAGGACAGTGGCATTAGAAACAGTGCGCAGAGGGTACGGCGAGGAGGTGAGACTACTGGCAGAGGTATCCAGCCCCTTGCTGCTGAACGTGTGCAGGCACACGACGGCTGTCTCGTCCGGCAGCAGCAGCACGGGGAACAGGAAACAGAGGAAGAAGAAGGGGAAGGAGGGGACGGGGTCCCAGGCTCACCTTGTGGCAAGGCTTAAAGCCCTCATTGATTCAGCGTAGAGATATTGTGAGGGAGTGAGCCCCGTGGCAGAGATATCCAATCCCTTGGTGCTGAACGTGTGGAGCCACACCACCGCCGTTTCATCCGGCAGCAGCAGCAAACAGATCCCCCTCTGCTGACAAACGAACCGCCTGCTTGGGGGCAACAGTCGCACCCTCCCCAGGTGCACCTCCACCGCCAGCAGCGTCACCCATAGTCGAACCCCCACCAGCAGCCGCAGCAGCATTGTCACCACCAGCAGCAGTGGCACCATCAGCTACAGGGTTGAATCCTTCCTTTCTTCCTCCCCCCTCCTTCCGCCCCTCCGCCTCCTCCACCACCCCGACCTCCCTCACTCTCAGCGGTGGTGGGTCCAGATCCCGCCTTGGCGCAAGCATACCCACTACAGTCGCATCCGCTATAGGCACTCGCTTCTTCGGCCCTGCTGGCCCTACTGCTACGGAGAACCCTCTAAGCCCACCTGCCTTGCTGATACCCAACTGTCCCTTTTCCTTCGCCAGCTTGTCACCCCCGTTACTATCACTCCCGTTATTATCACCACTAGCGTTTCCACTAACAATACTGATATCATCAACATCAATAGCGGCACCACCGCCACCACCACCACCGTCAGCAGCGGCGGAACCTTCCGTGGTGCTTCCCCCCACTTCCTCCCCTTCCCCCGCTTTCCGGCAAAAGGCGAGCCAGTAGCTGCGGCTGTCGCTGAACGCGCCTCGGGGGAAATCCGCGATCCACGGCACCACCACCCGCTCGGCGGGAGCGGCGCGGCTGCAGCAAGGGGAGATAGGGGAGGAGGAGGGAGAGGAGGGGGAGCGGAAAAAGGTCAGCATTTTCCAAGGGAGAAAAGGCTGGTAAGCAGTACTCACTCAGTCATTCATCATCCCCGTTACTGAGCGTTTAGCCAACAGAAGCTGCTAAAAGGGTAAATGTCGAATCTGGACCTTCCAAAACGGTAGATTCGAATTCACTCACTTCACTTGAATCTGCATCACGAGCGCGTCTTTCCGCGGCGGAATCGACCGCACCGTGAACGCGCCTTGGCTCCCGTCGATCTCCCCCAGCCCCTTCACCGTGCGGTGCGCCAGCGCCGCGTTAAAGCGCGCGCCCGCGCTGCGGAACGTCCCCACGTACTTGTCCGCCCACCGCGCGATAAACGGGAGCGCCGGCTCGCCCTCTATAGTCACAACCCGCTTGCCCTCGTAGCGGGAGAAGTTGAATCCGAACAGCCCGCGCGCGATAAGGTCCGGGCGCCCGCGGAGCACTGGGGAGAGAAGGCGCGGGGAAAGCGCAGGGGGAAAGCGGGGAAGAGAAGTGAGGGAAAAACGTAGAGAGGGTAGGATTCAGGGAGGGCAATTCACAGAAAATAAACGAAAGCTTTTGACACATGATGTATGCTGGATGCCAAAGGATAACCACACCGAACCACGAAGAAACCGAACCGCAATGAACCCAACCGAACAGAACCTGATTTGCTTACATTCCATGCTCCCGACTCGGATGATCTGCTCGCCGTCTTCGACCACGGAGACAAGCGGCAGAGGGAGAGTGTAGAGCCCGACGCCATGGAAGCAATTGCTCGTCATGGATGTATGGCCGTCGTTCAACGAGTCGATCGCACGGAAGATAAGAGAGTGGAAGCGCAGGAGACTGTTAATTCCCTCGCCTTGCTCCGCCGTTTCGCGAATCGACTTTAGATACGTTATGATATCCACGTCGCTCGGGAGCTTCGGGTCGGGTGATTTTACCGCGAGGTGCTTGTACACGTAATGGTTGTCGAGCGCGTTAATGATTGTGTCTAAAGCGGGGATGTCGCGGTCTGCCCGGAAGCGGAAGTTGCGCAGGCAGTTTCTCGCGTCCGTAGGGGTGGCGAAACCGACGGATCCGTCGACAATGATGTTTTGTTTCGCTAGCGCTGCCACGCTCGCCTCTAGTTTATTCGCCAGTGTCGTGCACGGATCTATACCGTCGTTTGGATCGCTCGCGGGAGAGGCAAAAGGCATTGCAACGAGAAGGAAGAACAAGACTAGAGGCTGGGCTGAGAGTCGACATACGCCGGCCCTGGATTCTGGTTTCGTTCTGGTACAGCCATGGATCGATGCGGGCGGTCTTTGGCTCGCCATGGATCTTGACACGACCTTTGATCGTCGTGCTTTTTAACAAATGCCTAGCTTACTGTACCACCGGGGCTCGTAAGGGCTCGTAAGGTAGAAGGATGTTTCAAACGCTTGCTTAAATAAAATAATGAGACGATTCGCGTGAAATGCGCCAATTGCGGAGCTTTTGAGGGGTGATATGTAGCAAGATGCGCAAGTGACTGGAGTTTCGAGATGCTTTTGCTTTTGGAGTGATATGTAGCAGATGTGAATTCACCAAATTCGCAAGTGCAAGGGGGCAGCGTGAGTGATGCAAGGCCGGTGAGGGAAAACTGATGGATGGTGCATCAACAAAGCTGCCGCAGATCCCGCACGAGGGGCTCTTGATAGCACAGGTGTTACATTTGAGAGAGAGATGGGCGGGCGGGAGAAATGAGAGGTCAGGTTTGGGCTGGACTTGGCTGGGCTGGGCGCAGTGGGGGGGAAGTAGTGGTGCTCTAGGAAAAGGCGGGCCAGAAAGAACCAGAACCGACCAGGGTAGCACTGCACATCGCCGAGTCGCGAATCCTGCTTTCGCATCGCGAATGCACATGGAGAATGCCAGAGCACATCTGCCGAAAAGCGATCCGACAGACTCGTGTTCGCGAACTTGTAAAACGAAAAGTAAACGAGTTACCACTTTTCTGACCACGCGCATTTTGCAGTTTGCTCTGCCCCTACCTTCGCTAATGCATCCAGCGGGAGGTCTGCGATGGCAGAATTCGTGCTGTAAGATCATGCGACAGGATGCGACCCGTAATCCGTCTTGTCGGGTAGAACCTGCAAAATTTCCCCAATACCGACTTGATTGGTGCACTCGTGCCGCATTCTGTCGTGAGGTCACCAGGGAATGACAGTTGAGGGCGAAAGTACATCCCAGGTTGAACTGATCCAGGCCGTCGATGGGGAACCGTCAATAATCTCATGTGCAGAAATGTGTTTCACCCGCTTCTATGATGAGTTCCTAGGAGGTATATTTGCTACCCTTCAGACTTACAGCTTTAGGAAACATTGATGATAGAAGAACCCTACTTTCTTAGATCACCAAATAATCCCATCTTCATTCTTGTTTCGTTAATGATTAAGCTTCAATACTTCTGAATAGACCTTACACATATAAACCAATTGCTGTTGCCAGCCAAGACCTCCCCCCCCAAGTGGTGTGCGACTAAATCAACCCCCCTAAGCACGCTTCCCTGTGCGCGACGACGACTGGGGCACAAGCACCTTACGGCCACGGGCGCGGCGGCGCTTCAGCACATTGAGCCCATCCTTGGTGGCAATACGCGCGCGGTAACCAGACACTCTGGCACGCTTCTTGCGCGAGGCGTGGCGCTTGGTGCAGCCAATGCTGGTGCCTCCTGCCCGCACCACCAGCCGAGAGCCCCTTGACACCGGGAACACCAGGCGCCCAGAGCTCTCTGGGGAGAGGCGCAGACCTGCAAGGGAGGGGGGGAAGCAGACGGATAAAAAGTGGAGAAGGACAGGAGCAGGGTCAGACAGCTGACACAACCAAGGAATGCTGCTTTGTGTGAGGCGTGGCGCTTGGTGCAGCCAATGCTGGTTCCTCCTGCCCGCAATACCAGCCGAGAGCCCCTTGACACCGGGAACACCAGGAGCCCAGAGCTCTCTGGGGAGAGGCGCAGCCCTGCAGGCGAATGGTGGGGAGCAGGAGGGGGAATAACCAGAAAGGGATGGGAAAGGAAGTAGTTCTTCCAAGAATTTGTTTCCAACAATTTCCAATTTGTTTTTTCTTTCCAAGCGCTTGGTGCAGCCTATGCTGGTGCCCCCTGCCTGCACCACCAGCCAAGAGCCTCTTAACACAGGGAACACCAGGCGCTCTGGGGAGGCGCTCTGGGGAGAGGCGCAGACCTGCCGGACAATGGGGGGAGGAGAAGTGGGGGAAGAGCGGAGAAGGGGAGGATAGGGGAGATCAATGCGCGGAGGATGGGAGCGGGAGTTGAAAGGAGGGTGTGATGCGTGCGAGAGACATGGTGCTTGATGCCACCAATGCTGGTGCCTCCTGAATGGTCTATTCCGCAGAGAGCATTAGGCCCTCGTGAATGTGTGGAGAGACGAAGGCCTGAAGTGGGAGAGAGGTGAGGTAGGATGTGGAAAGGTGTGTGGGGAAGCGCGTGGCTAAGCCCATGGGGACGCGTGTGGAGAAGAGTGTGGGGAAGAGTGTGGGGAGGTGCATAGGGAGGAAGCGAAAGGGGAAACTGGGTTCTAAAGGATAAGGAGCTGCGCCTGCAGCCATTACTTCCTATGAGGATCAAGCTTAAAAACGATGGGGGAACCAAGTTATTCTCCGTCTCCTATCAGCGGATGTTACGCTGATCATATTGGAGCGAAGTGAAGCTGATGATGTGGTGGAGAATGCCTCCTTCAATGACCCACAAAACCACGAACCCACGAACACTTCGTGACTTCGTGCATTAGTAACCCGCATTCGTGAGCCCTCGCAAAAGCGAGAATATGGGCTTAGCGCGCTTTATTCGTGAATCGGTTTTTCTACGCATCTCGCATCTAACTTTGACCACCTTTCTGTTATTATTAACCCTACGCGTGTCCTATATTACCTCCTATGTTACACCCGTTTCCCGCAGACTTGAACGTGCATCATGTTTTATTACCTGCGAGCGAGCACGAGAGGAAGGAGACGGCGGGGCGAGCAGAGACGAGGTCTGATCGCAGCGCGCTGGGAGCGGCTGTCCGAACAGCCGCGAACGAAACGGGGCCGGCGGGACGAGCGGCTTGTAGCGACGCCCGCGCGACGGCGGCGGGCGCACACGCGACGGCGCGGGAAGAGGCGAGCGCAAACATTGTGGCGGGCAGTGATGTCAGGTGGAAGGAAATGGCTATGACTGAGATAGTTGCCAAGAGCGGCTGATGAGTAGTAACAAGTAGGATGAGTTGTGGATGAGAGGAGGGGCAGTAGTAACCTTTTGAGGTGGTTTAGTAAGGCTTTGCCTGGTTTGACGCGGTTGAATTGCGTTTTTGTTCAGTGCTGCAGGGGAAACTGGATGAGGGCGCGGGGAGGGGAGCGGGGAGAAGCGGGAAAAGGTGCGGAAAGATCCGCGCCAACGTGGCGGAAGTTGGAGTTCTCTGTGGGAGAGCCACGCCAAGCCACGTGGAAGCAACCCTGGGAACGGACAGACCTGCCTGATGACTCTTGCGAAAATCGTCACGAAGACGAGACTCGTTACAGGATCTGGTTGTTGATTTCGTGCTGATGAAGAACTTTGACCGAACATGTTACGAAGAGGTAACCGATTCGCAAATGCAAAACGTCCACACAACCACAAACCTCCCTCTAAACCCTATGGTTGAGGGTTGCTGGTTGTGCTTGGAATCAGCTTCGTCACAAAAGCTTCCGCCATAGATTTCCATCTCCCTTTCACTGATAGGTGGTCTTATTCGGTTCACCTACACTACTGCCGTTTCGCACCGTCGTCTTACCGTCCTCCGCTTCGACTTATAGCCCCTCGTTCGCGGTATCTCCGTCGATTTGTTAGAGCTTTCGTTTTACAGTAGCGTGATTCGTGGCGATGAAGGGGAAGAAGCGGGGTCGCGTGGCGGCGCAGCAGCAGCAGCGGCTGCACCTGAAAGCCAAGGGGATGAAGGTCTCCGCAAAGCACGGCGGCGGCGGCGGCGCGGCGCACGCGACGACGCTAGAGCAGGAGATGGACGACGAGTTCCTCCTCGAGCAAGCCGCCAAGCGGCGGCGCGCGCCGAAGCAGCGGCGGCGGCAGGGGGAAGGGGAAGGGGACGAGGAGGGCGTGATCGGCGCGGGGATGAGCGCGCGGATCCTTAAGGAGGCGCGCAAGCAGCAGCAGGAAGTCGCGCGGGAGATGTGAGTTTCCCTTTACTCACCATATGTGATTTTCCGCAATAACCAGAATCTGTGCAACTCGATTCTTAACCCTGAACCCTGATACTTTAACCTTAAATCCCTACGTCGCCTTATTCTGAATCCCGAACCCTGGAAGCCCCATTCGATAAAACACCTGGACGTACACCTGAACTCTTGTTTTACATTACACTGCGTCACTCCCACGAAATCCAATCCCCTCCATCGCATGTTTCGTTGCAATACCTGAGCGCGCGCCCCCTGCATCGCCTGTTTTGTCGCGACCTGCAGGGAGAAGGAGCGCGGCCTGGACGGGGCGCGCGAGGCGTTCGATCTTGCCGCGGCCGTGGCGGCGCGGGAGCGCGAGCAGGAGGAGCGGGAGGAGGAGGCGGGGGAGGAGGGGGAGGAGCGGGAAGTGCGGGATCCAGAAGCGGCGGCAGCGGCGGCTGCTGACGTGGAGAAAATCCTAAGCGACGCAAGACGAGGGCGGGCGGATATAGAGGAGGGAGAGGAGCGGGAGGAGGGGGAAGCGGAGGAGGATGAGGATGATGAGGATGGGGAGTATGGCGCGTTCTCAGAAACGGCGAGCATGTACAATGATGCTGTGGTGAGTTGGGGTAAAAGGTAAAGGAGGAGGAAGAGGCGGAGGATGAGGATGATGAGGATGGAGATGGGGAGGATGAGGATGGGGAGTATGGCGCGTTCTCAGAAACTGCGAGCATGTATAACGAAACGATGCTGTGGTGAGTTGGGTTGGGGGGGGCCCGAAGAAAAGGCATGCATGATGCACGTACAACGATGCTAAGGAGTTGACTTTTGAGTTGACTCAAAAGTCAACAAGGCATGCATGATGCACGTACAACGATGCTAAGGAGTTGACTTTTGAGTTGACTCAAAAGTCAACAAGGCATGCATGATGCACGTACAACGATGCTGAGGAGTTGACTTTTGAGTCGACTCAAAAGTCAACAAGGCATGCATGATGCACGTACAACGATGCTGAGGAGTTGACTTTTGAGTCTACTCAAAAGTCAACAAGGCATGCATGATGCACGTACAACGATGCTGAGGAGTTGACTTTTGAGTCGACTCAAAAGTCAACAAGGCATGCATGATGCACGTACAACGATGCTGAGGAGTTGACTTTTGAGTCTACTCAAAAGTCAACAAGGCATGCATGATGCACGTACAACGATGCTAAGGAGTTGACTTTTGAGTCGACTCAAAAGTCAACAAGGCATGCATGAGGCACGTACAACGATGCTGAGGAGTTGACTTTTGAGTCTACTCAAAAGTCAACAAGGCATGCATGATGCACGTACAACGATGCTGAGGAGTTGACTTTTGAGTCTACTCAAAAGTCAACAAGGCATGCATGATGCACGTACAACGATGCTGAGGAGTTGACTTTTGAGTCTACTCAAAAGTCAACAAGGCATGCATGATGCACGTACAACGATGCTGAGGAGTTGACTTTTGAGTCTACTCAAAAGTCAACAAGGCATGCATGATGCACGTACAACGATGCTGAGGAGTTGACTTTTGAGTCTACTCAAAAGTCAACAAGGCATGCATGATGCACGTACAACGATGCTGAGGAGTTGACTTTTGAGTCTACTCAAAAGTCAACAAGGCATGCATGATGCACGTACAACGATGCTGAGGAGTTGACTTTTGAGTCTACTCAAAAGTCAACAAGGCATGCATGATGCACGTACAACGATGCTGAGGGAGGGAGATGCGGAGGATGAGGAGGACGATGAGTATGATGAGGGTGGAGATGGGGAGGATGAGGAGGAGGATGAGGAGGAGGATGAGGATGGGGAGTATGGCGCGTTTTCAGTAACCGCGAGCATGTACAATACAATGATGCTGTGGTGAGTTGTTGGGTCGAAACAGCGAGTGTCCAACACAGCTTCCTCCCCCGCTTCCCCCCACTACTTCCCTCCCCACCCTCTTGGTCCTGTTCCCCCCTACCCTCCCCCTACCCTCCCCCTACCCTCCCCCTACCCTCCCCCTGCCCTCCCCCTACCCTCCCCCTCCCCTGTTCTCCCCCCAGACTCCCCTTCCGCGCGCTGCCTTGCACAATTGTGATGCCTTGTTGCGCCGTGGCACCTGGACCTGCCACGTGTCCCCGTGTGATTGGCTCTGTGGCAGGCGGACGAGGTGACGGAGGAGGACGAGCGGGCGATCGCCGTCTTCCTCGCGGGGGGAGGCGCGGCGCCACGTCAGCGCACGCTGGCTGACGTCATCATGGCGAAGATCCAGGAGGCCACGGCTGGCGGGGCGGCGGGGGCAGCTGGGGGCAGTGGCGGGGCGGGTGCGAGAGGGGGGGAGGGGGGAGAAGAGGTGGAGAGGCGAATTCCGGGAGTGGATGAGAAAGTAATGGAGGTTTACCGAGGGTGAGTCTAGTGAGTCTTGCCTTCAAAATATTTGGTAATATAGTAAAAAGCCTGGGTGTAGATGAGAAAGTGATGGAGGTGTACCTGCTGCTGTCTGTCTTTGCCACTGGAGTGAAAGATAGTCGTTCCCCACTCCTCTCTAATCGCCTGTGCCGCCCACGCTCCTCATTCCTTCCACCCTATTTTTGAGTCGACTCACAAATACGCCCACGCCCCCCATTCCTTCCACCCTCCCCTTGCATGCCTCGCCCTGCAGGGTGGGGAAGCTTTTGAGTCGGTAAAGGTGCCAAAGGCTTTCAAGATCGTGCCAGCACTAAGCAACTGGGAGGATGTGCTGTGCCCTTCCTTACAGACCAGACCCTCACATACCTCAAATTCACAGACCCTGACAGCTGGACGCCTGCTGCTGTTTGACTTTACTGCTGGAGTGAAAGACAGCCGTCCCCCACTCCTCTCTAATCGACTGTTTCCCCGGCCCCTTCCCTCATTCCTTCCACCCTCCGCTTGCATGCCTCACCCCTGCAGGGTGGGGAAGCTTCTGAGTCGGTATCGGTCCGGCAAGGTCCCAAAGGCTTTCAAGATTGTGCCAGCATTGAGCAACTGGGAGGATGTGCTCTTCCTTACAGATCCTGACAGCTGGACTCCTGCTGCTGTCTTTGCCGCCACTCGTCTTTTTGCGTCGAATCTCAACGCCCGCGCAGCCCAGCGTTTTTACCGGCTGGTGCTGCTGCCGAGAGTGCGGCGGGATATTAGGGTCAATAAGAAGCTGCACTTTGCACTGTATCAGTCGCTAAAGAAGGCGGTTTATAAGCCTGCCGCGTTTTATAAAGGGGTGTTGCTGCCGCTGTGCCAGTCCCAGACTTGCACGCTACGTGAGGCTGTCATTATAGGGAGCGTCATTCAGAAAGTCTCGATTCCAGTGCTACACTCCAGGTGAGCTTTTAACGATTTTTTCTTTCTTCCTTCCTATTTTCATACTATTATTTGCACAGATGATGGCCAACAAGTATGTGGATTGACTGAATCAACCCACCTTTCTTGTTGTCACGTCTTGCAGTGTTGCCCTGATGAAGATTGTAGAGATGCAGTATGCCGGCACAAACAGGTGAGAACTGAGCACTATAAGTTGTGAGCAATGGAAACAACAACTTATTGTGGAGAGGCACTTGAGAAGGCTGTAGAGAATGTTGATCATCGCAATAGTTGGTAAACATTGGCATGACTGCTGCTGTGAGCTGCTTGCGGGAACTGTTGGAGTGAGGGCTTGAAATCAGCAGTATAAGACATTATAATCATCAATCATGTATCATATATTTTCCCCTGCAAGAACAGTTACTTCATGAAGCTTCTGTTGGACAAGAAGTATGCCCTGCCATATCGAGTCATTGATGCGGTGGTTGGACACTTCCTGCGCTTTCGCTCTGAGACCCGCGAGCTGCCAGTAATCTGGCACCAATGCTTGCTCTCCCTCGTCCAAAGGTATTTCTCTTCAAAGATTCAACGTTTTTTTGTTTGTTTGTTTGTTCTTATCTTGTTTGTATGTGCTTCTGTTTGCGCTAAGTTCGTTGATTTTCTGTTACCACATGTTTCCATTTTCTGCTGTTTTTTGTTCCCTATCAGGTACAAGAATGAGTTGACCCAAGAGCAAAAGGCCGATATCAAGGCTCTCATCACCAGCCGTCAGCACCATCACTTGGTATGGATTCATGCAAGCCATTGTGACTCTGTTGCTGCTGCATCACCTTCTACTTAAAGCAGGAGAAGAAAACATCAATGCTCTACCCTCCGTCTGCTTCCTGTTGTATGCAGATGTCACCAGAGGTGCTACGAGAGCTCCAAAGTTCTACCCGGTCCCGAGGGCAGCCTGATGCTGCAATGTTCATGTTCTCATCCGATGCCACTATGAGTAAGTCCACGTGTGCATCACTTGTTTCTTTTCTGGTCCCCATGATTGCACAAATGACGGGTGTTCTTTTTAACTGTTTCAAATGATGCAGGACCATTGGTTGTCACAAAGCCATTGGAAGATGACTACCGTAATCTCCCTGAAGTCTGCATTGGGATGGATGAAGACTAATGAGGGGCATTGCGGCTAATGAGAGAAGCGGAAAAGGGTCTTGATGTTCTTAATCGCCTCTGCCAATCCAAATAGTTACGAGCAATTTCTTGTGTGCAAGAAAGATATTCTATTTGCATGGTAGCCCCCATGTTGTCTGTTACCTTGTAGTTTAAACGTCCAGCTGTTTCCATGAGCTATTAAAGAATGGCTTGCAGAATAAGTCTTGCGAGGCCTTGGATCTCATCCTGGTCCTCATTGTTCATGGCACAAACTGCAAGGGGCAGTTAAAGGTTTACCAGAGGTTCTCACAGCCAGCCAACTGAACCATCTTTTGCCTTACCCCATTGGAGCACCGGGAACAATGCTTGTTTTTTGGGTACGGAAATAACGTAGGCAACAACCTGAAGGTTTCATATTCATACGGTAAGTGAAGCAGGTTTTCCTAAATGTACCATCACACTGTCCATGGCATCAGACTGGTTGCAGTACTCACAATGATGGAGGCAGGCAGGGCTGCTCGAGACAGATGTTGGCGTAAAACGGAATCAGAGTGCATCAAGGTGTAAATAGTGAAGCACGTACTTAGTTTAATGAAGTCACCGACACGAGAAACTCGCCTGAAACAGGAATTGATGCACCGTTGAAAGCAGCACTAAGCGAACATAGAGCGGAAAACTAGCAACTAACCTGAGCTCTCTCAGCAAGTCCTCCAGCACTGAAGGGCACGACCTTCCTGTCTCAATCTCAAAGTTTATTGTCTGCTCAATGCAGCGACGTCTTGTCAGGGAGCTCAAGCTGCCAGGAATTAGCAATGAAAGATCCTTACCCCCAGCAGCTCAATCTCCTGAAATCAGTTTCAGGGCGATAAGAAACACTGTCATAATACCAGGTGAGGGCATGCATCGGTCGCAACTTACAGCCTTCACAAAGTCCTTCGCAGTGTAAACTTTGTCGCTGATAATTCTGGATGAACAAGCCTTCAGCTCCGTCAAGGAAATCTGCTGAGTTTCAAACATCTGCACTACTGGCGCGTAAGACTCGTATGGGGAAGACGGTCGAAATTATCACCATAATAGGCGTCTTACCTTGCTTCCGACCCACAGTAAGACTAAGGTCAGAAACAAGCAGTCTGACCGGTCGGGCTGGAGGACAGTCGACGCATTCAAGATCCTGGTCGTCGGAAACATGATTACGTCAGTTGTAGACCTTCTTAACTCGCCATTAGTTTGTACCTTTCAGGACTGTCTGCACATTCAGCCTCAATTGTATCCAGACGTCTCGCGAACTTGATGAACAAAGAGGCAGCGCACCACCTTGTACATTGGGATATAGGTTTCCCGCTTCTTGTTTTCATCTGAGGATTCAATGTCAGACTTCATACGAACGTAGAGAAACACGAGGCATTGTCTAAGATATTACCTGCATTTGGAAAATAAGTGCCAGGCATTCGTTGGCCACCGCCTCTGGTACACGAGCAGAAGCCATGACTGCTTGTGCTTGATGGCAACAAATTCAAAGATGTACGCTGACCACGAAAATGTGAGGGAAAGTCGTTGCAAAATGAGATCCGAATTTCGTGGTCTGCTGTCATAAGTGCTTTTTGCGAAAGGGCCACGTCTTTCTGGTGATCTGATTGGTTCAGAACCTTCTCTTTCGCTGGCTTCTGCTGTCCACCGCAGGGAATTTCAGTTCGTCGAATCAACGCGGCGTTCGCGAAACCTCTTCGCTTTCTTGAGATCTCCCAACATTTTTCACCCACAGATGCTCTCACTGAGGTTGTATCTCGACAAATCCCACTTATATCTCCTCCACATTCAATCTCAGGCTCTGATAGTCCACCACACCCGGTTGTGAAGTCTTTCCCGATCGAGACGCCTGATCGCACGCAATTCGGAATTGTGCAAAATTAGTCGGTCTGTGCTGTGAAGTCAGAAACGCCGACCATGGGTCCGCGTCACAATAGTTCCGAGCAAATAAGATGGCGGTTGGTACTTGGGGTAACTCTCACACTTTTAGCGCTGGTTCCGTTCGTGAGCGGAGCGGTGTTCACGGTTGACCTGGGTTCGGAATCCATGAAGGTCGCTGTGGTCAATCCGCGGCCTGGTCAGAGCCCGATCTCGATCGCGATCAACGAAATGTCGAAGCGGAAATCTCCGTCTATTGTGGCGATATCCAACGGCGATAGGCTCCTGTCAGAGGAAGCCGCTGGAATCGCCGCTAGGTACCCCGATCGCGTGTACTCCCGAGCGAGGGATATGGTCGGCCTTCCAGTAGACGAGGTAAAGGAGCTTCTAAAAAGCAACTATCTTCCGTACGATGTCGTCGGAGGGGATGGGAGGCCGGAGGAGGAAACGGAGGACGACTCAATGGCGTCGGAAGTCATTAGCGAAGTGACGTCAGATTCAAACGGCGACGCGGCTTCGGAGCGCTCGTCCGGCAAGGACAAGGCGAAGAAATTGAAGCGGAAGCGTCCCGTGCGGATTCGAACCCACGACGGCTCGACGGAGTACTCCGCTGAAGAGCTGCTCGCGATGCAGCTGGGTTACGCTAGGGAACTCGCGGAAGCCCATGGGAAAACTGGAATCGTGGACGCTGTCGTTAGCGTTCCCGCGTACTTTTCCCAGAGCCAGAGGCAGTCGATTATTGACGCTGGCGCTCTGGTCGGCGTGAATGTGATGGCGTTGATTCAGGAGCATGCTGGGGTTGCGCTGCAGTACGGCATGGATAAGGACTTCAGCAATGGCAGCAGACACGTGGTTATCTTTGACATGGGTGCCACGTCGACCTATGCGGCCGTGATTTATTACTCGGCTTACGCGACGAAGGAGCGCGGGAAGAGCATCACAGTGAACCAGTTTCAGGTCAGTCGAATGCACCAATCCTGCCTGTTTCATTCACTAGCATTTTCCTAATTCCTGTCTTCGTTCGCCACACAGCGCCTCCTTGACCACTAAATTCAGTTCCTCGGCGAGGTTGTAAGCTAAGCTGTACACCCATTTCATCGGGCACGCGTCAAATGTGACCTGCGCTGCGCAGGTGAAGTCCGTGAGATGGAACGCGGACCTGGGAGGACAGACACTCGAGGCACGGCTTCTGGAGCATTTCGTGGACGAGTTCAACGCGAAGCACAGCGGCGTGGACATCCGCACGTCACCGAAGGCCATTGCGAAACTGAAGAAGCAGGTGAAGCGCACCAAGGAGATCCTCAGCGCCAACTCCGAGGCCCCCATCTCCGTGGAGTCGCTCTATGACGACCATGATTTCAGGTGAGTCGCTGAGGCCTGAGGGGGTTTTATATGGCTTGACCCATGATTTTGAGTCGAGATTTGGAGAACCTCAGCGCCAACTCCGAGGGCCCCATCTCCGTGGAATCGCTCTACGATGACCATGACTTTATGTATGACTTCGAGGCCTGATTTGAGTCTGCTGAAAAGTACGTCACCCAAGGAAATAATTGCATGTGTGGTACTCGGCGGATCATCCATCACTCAAGAAATTCGAGGATCTGTGTGCAGAACCAAGTGCCGGTACCGCTGCAGGCCGCGATAAGCTATAGCTTATGTATTGTGTGCTGCGTGCAATGCATGACCTGTTGTGCATGGCAGGTCATCCATCACCCGGGAGAAGTTTGAGGAGCTGTGTGCGGACGTGTGGCCGCAAGTGGTGGCGCCGCTTCAAGCCGCGATAGCAGACGCCAACATCACTATGGACGATGTCTATGCTGTGGAGCTCGTGGGGGAGCCACACGCGTGCCCAAAGTGCAGGTAGGCACTGTGGCTCACACAACCAGCAAGTGTTTGGTACTTTATGGATTGCAAATGAAGTTGTTGTTTTCTCACTCTCAGAATTCATCCCCACCCCATCCGTGCCCCATCTCATCTGTGTCCCGTCTCCGCCTCTCACGTGTACCTTATCCTCCCTGCGTTTCTCTGTCCTTATCTGATCGACCTGAGCTTATTGAATGCAGTCTGTGTTGACGGAGGCACTGGGTGGTAACCGCTCCCTGGACCGCCACCTGGATGCTGACGAGGCGCTCGCTCTAGGCGCGTCCCTGCTGGCGGCGAACCTGAGCGATGGATTCAAGCTCAACCGTCGAATTGGCATGATTGACGGGCTGCCGTTTGCTGTCAAGTACCGGGTGGAGCCGGTGCCTGTGGATGGAGGTGCTGGGAGTGACAGTGGGAGTGATGGTGGGAGTGATGGTGGCGAGGGAGAGGCTGCAGATGCATCAGAGGGGCCTGTGGTGGAGGAAACGTTGTTTCCTCGATTGAAGAAGATGCCCATCAAGGTATGCTGTCATGTACTTTGATGCTTTTTTTTTTCTCTCACTTCCACAGCTTGTGACGTGATATCCAGTAGACTGGCTAATCAACCCTGCTGCACTTCTCCTGCCCCTCCATTTCCCTGCAGATAATTCGGTCGTTGAAGGAGCAAACAAGTGACTTCACTCTCTCGTTCCTCTATGACGAGGCAGAGGGCTTGCCCCCCCGGTGGCCCAAGGGCGCCCCCATCTCCACTCTGCACGTGTCTGGCGTGGCCAAGGGCATTGCCAAGTGAGTGGGAGGGGTGAGAGATGGTCGAGTCGAGAAAGAGAAATGGGTTTATCGAAAGTGGATCTAGCATGGGGCACACGGCCTTGCTTCGGTGGCCCAAGGGCGCCCCCATCTCCTCTCTGCACGTGTCTGGCGTGGCCAAGGGCATTGCCAAGTGAGTGGGAGGGGTGAGAGATGGTCGAGTCGAGAAAGAGAAATGGGTTTATCGAAAGTGGATCTAGCATGGGGCACACGGCCTTGCTTCGGTGGCCCATCTCCTCTCTGCACGTGTCTGGCGTGGCCAAGGCCATTGCCAAGTGAGTGGGAGGGGTGAGAGATGGTCGAGTCGAGAAAGAGAAATGGGTTTATCGAAAGTGGATCTAGCATGGGGCACACGGCCTTGCTTCGGTGGCCCAAGGGCGCCCCCATCTCCTCTCTGCACGTGTCTGGCGTGGCCAAGGGCATTGCCAAGTGAGTGGGAGGGGTGAGAGATGGTCGAGTCGAGAAAGAGAAATGGGTTTATCGAAAGTGGATCTAGCATGGGGCACACGGCCTTGCTTCGGTGGCCCAAGGGCGCCCCCATCTCCTCTCTGCACGTGTCTGGCGTGGCCAAGGGCATTGCCAAGTGAGTGGGAGGGGTGAGAGATGGTCGAGTCGAGAAAGAGAAATGGGTTTATCCAAAGTGGATCTAGCATGGGGCACACGGCCTTGCTTCGGTGGCCCAAGGGCGCCCCCATCTCCTCTCTGCACGTGTCTGGCGTGGCCAAGGGCATTGCCAAGTGAGTGTGGGGCGGATTTGGTCACGTAGCGAGATCGGAAAAGGTTCTGGAGAGTGGATTTGACAGGTTCTATTCCTTCTAGCAGGAGGCACAGGGCCTCGCTTCCTCGCTGGCCTTGCTTCCTCGCTGGCTCAAGGGCTCTCGCATCTCCACTCTGCACGTATCTGGCGTGACCAAGGGCATTTCCGAGTGAGTGCTGTTGTGAGACTGGGTCGAGTCGTGAGAGAAACAGGGGTTTTAGAAGGTGAGTGGGACGGGTTCACTCGCAGCGGCCCGGTGGAGCTCAAGAAGGCAGAGCTCGCCGTTGATGTTTCTGAATGGACTCATCTCCGTTATATCCTCTCCCGGATATCCTCTCCCGGATATCATCTCCCGGCCATCATCTCCGCCTCTCCTCTGCCTTGCACACCCTCTTGCTTACCCTCCCCTCCCCTCCCTTCTCTCCACTTTCCCCAGGTACTCGGGGTACAACCTGACACACCCGATTAAAGCGAGTCTGCACTTCCACCTCACCCGCAGCGGCACAGTGGGGCTGGAGAAGGCAGAGCTTGTCGTTGACTTCTCTGAGTGGATTGAGGTGCCTGTAATCCCTCCCCCGTCTGCTGCCAACGCCACTGCCAACGCCACTGCCAATGCAACTGCGAATGCCACTGCTGCCAACGCTACTGGTGACGGTGCTGCGGGTGGTGCTGGTGACGATGGGTCAGAGGCAGCTGCGGTAGAGAAGGATGCTTCAGCAGGAGAGGGGAGCAGTGACTCTGGGAGCGACGGTGCAGGAGAGAAGGAAGAGGCAGAGAAGGGCGGAGAGAAGGCGGGGAAGGACGGGGAGAAGAAAGGGGAAAAGGAAGGGGAGAAGGAGGCAGAGGTGCCTAAAGTGCAGATGAGGAAGAAGCTGAGGAAGAGGACGATAAGGGTGCCTCTGCAGGTGGCTGATGTGACGGAGGGGTTCCAGCGCATGATGACAGACGAGGAGATGACAGATGCCGAGATCCGATTGGACAAGCTGAAGAAGCGGGACGAGGAGAAGCGCGCTGTTGCTGAGGCGAAGAACACCCTGGAGGCGTATATCTACTCCATGAAAGATAAGGTGAGAGAGACACATGAGAATGGACGTGAAGAAACATGGGAGGACAAGGTTAGAGTGAGATGAGAGCTGTTGCTGGGGCGAAGAACACTCTGGAGGCGTATATCTACTCCATGAAAGATAAGGTGAGAGATGAAGAGGCGTGATGGGATAAGATGAGATGCGAGAAGATGTGGGAGGATAAAGTGAGAGTGTAAAACGAGGCAATGAGGACGAGGAGAAGCGGGCTGTTGCTGAGGCGAAGAACAATCTAGAGGCGTATATCTACTCCATGAAGGACAAGGTGAGTGTGAGAGACGAGGTACAATGGCAGGGAAGAGGGGCGAAGAAAACAATAGAGGCGTATAAGGTGAGATGGGAGGAGGAGGCGTGCAAGGATATGGTAAGAATCAAAGAGAGATGGGAGGTAGGTGTGGCAGAGGGTGAGGATGAAGCAGCACTTGATGAGGCAACAAACACTTTGAGAGCGTATTTTTTCTCCATGAAGGATAAGGTGAGGGAGTGAAAGGAGGTGAAGTGTTAAAGCGAGGAGCTCCTCCTCACCTTCTCTACCCACTTCCTTGGCATCGCTCCTCCCTACCTCCTGAGTCAACTTAGTCACTTGCTTGTGCCCCTTTTTCCCCTCCCCTCCCCGTCCCTACCCCTATTCACCATCACCACGCCGATGGTGAGAGAGTGAATACAGTATTAAGGCGAGGAGCACCTCCTAACCTTCTCTACCCACTTCCTTGGCATCGCTCCTCTCTACCTCCTGAGTCAACTTAGTCACTTCCTTGTGCCCGTTTTTCCCCTCCCCTCCCCGTCCCTACCCCTATTCACCGTCACCACGCAGGTGGTGAGAGAGTGAATACAGTATTAAGGCGAGGAGCTCCTCCTAACCTTCTCTACCCACTTCCTTGGCATCGCTCCTCTCTACCTCCTGAATCAACTTAGTTACTTGCTTGTGCCCCGTTTTCCCCTCCCCTCCCCGTCCCTACCCCTATTCACCATGACCATGCAGAAGGAGTCAGAGGAGGATCTGATTAAGGTCACCACAGAGCAGCAGCGCGACTTGCTATGTCTGCACCTCTCCTTTCCAAATGCTTCTATTCGCCCTCACCATGACCAAGCACATGGAGTCCGAGGAGGATCTCATTAAGGTCACCACAGAGCAGCAGCATGGCTTCTTGTATCCTCACATTCTCGCCTTCCATACCTACCCCCTCCTCTATTCACCCTCACCTCGTTCCTGATGAACCATCACCACGCAGATGGAGTCTGAGGAGGATCTGATAAAGGTCACCACAGATCAGCAGTTCAACTTGCTGTATACTCACCTTCCTCTCCCCTCCCCTTCCCTTATTCACCCTCACGTCGTGACACACTCAGATGGAATCAGAGGAGGATCTGATAAAGGTCACCACGGAGCAGCAGCGCGACTCCTTCCGCTCCCAGCTAGTTGATGTATGTCTCGCCATCTCCGTCTCGCCATCTCCGTCTCGCCTGCCATTCTGTGCTCTCAATACCCGTGCTTACCCTTTTAAACCGATCCAGTAAGTTTTCTGCTGCAGCTGCTGCCTTTGGCTCGATGCATGCCTTTCCTTTTCCACTTTCCCGCTTCGCTCTGTGCTCTGGATACCCAGATTGTCAAGGTCAAACTTTATCAATTACAGTGGATTAGCCTAAATGATTATATAATGTTCTGCATGCATGTGCACGCGTTGCATGGGCATGCGGATGTGCCCGGGCATGGCATGGGCATGTGTATGGGCATGGGGAATGGGATATGGGCATGGGCATGGGCATGTGTGCATGGGCATGGGCATGTGCATGTGCATGGGCATGGGCATGGGCATGGGGCATGGGTATGGGCACGGGAATGGGCATGGCAGGCGGAGGACTGGCTGTACATGGATGGGGAGAACGCCAAGGCAGCAGAGTTCAAGGCCAAGCTAGCTGATCTGAAGAAAACCGGAGATGCCTTCATGTTCCGGTCAGTGCGTGGGGGAAGGGCATAATACCTGTCATTGTTCAAGTAAGCAGTCAAATCCTTCTTCCCAGTAACCCTTTCCTTTCCACTCTCCTCTTCGTTGTAGCCACTTATCCCTTTTTCCCGCCCCAATTCCCCACCGCTGATTCACTTCATGCGCTGGTGTCTCCTAATCTCCTTGAATACTGCAAGAAATGACACGCCTGAACTCCTTATGTCCCGGTGCCCCCTACCTGTCCTGCAGCAAGAACGAGCTGGCTGCTCGCCCTACTTGTTGCTGCACGAACAAACAATCTAAAACCCCTTCGTCCCCACCTCTAGTCCCCAAATTCACATCCTCACCCCCCTTATGCCCCCTGGTGGCCCCCTACCTGTCTTGCAGCAAGACCGAGCTGACTGCTCGCCCTGCTGCTGTTGGTGTTGGCCGTTCCTTTGCCGACTCCACTTATGATGTACGTTCACATCTCACTTTTTCTCAGTACCACTCGGTATTGCTTGGCACCACTTTACATCACTTAGCACTGCACCCCACAGCTGCAGTTCATTGCATCAGCAGATGATGGCTGCTGTTATTGTAATAGTAGCAGTATACAGCAAGTACTGAACAAGCATGCTCTCGCCTTCGTCTCCCTTTCCATCCATCAGCTGCTGGAGTCGTGGAGAACGGAGAAGCCATGGTTGAACGCCACGACTGACATTGACCCGGTATGTGCGAGCGATCATGGTATGGTATGGCATGGCATGGCATGGCATGGCATGGATGTGGTGGATGACTCTTGAGTCGACTCAAAGGTCAACTCAGTGTTCCATGTGGCATAGCATGGCATGGATGTGCTGAATGGAGCACCTGAAGTTGATGAGGTAGAGACGTGCATCTAGCAGGCTGTGGTGAGTTGTGGCGAACCGAGAAGCCATGGTTGAGTGCCACCACTGACATTGACCTGGTATGTGTGTGCGAGCGACCACGGGTATCAACTCAAACCCGAAGTTCATGCACGCATGTGTTGGTGATAGGCGTAGCAACTGTCAACGGCTTGGTGTCACCAAGCGGGTTTGACAGGGTGTGACCATATCAGCATTGACCCAGTGTGTGAACCAGATTGACTTTTGAGTTGACTCATAAGTCAACTCCATATGAGCATTGGCCCAGTGTGTGAACCAGATGCTCCACTCTTGAAAGCTGTCCTAGTATGTGCTGAAGCCCAGGTGTTGTTTGACATGAGGCTTTAAGTTTCCCTCTGAATTCTACTCGCTCCCTCGCTTTCCCCCTCTCACTCCTCCTTCCCCGTGTCTGCACCCACCCAGGTATTGTCTGACGTGGAGAGCTTCATTAAGTGGCTTGACGACAAGACAGCAGCTCAGGCCAAGTAAGTTGATCGGCCTTAAATGCCAGCTCAAATGAATGTCTCCCGTTGTGAGCTAATTTAGGAAAGTTAGAGCTGTAGGAGGAAAAGAAACAATGCTTTATCAAAAGTGTTCGAGGCATGGTCTCACTTCCACCACGCTCTTCCCGTTTTCCCCCCCACCACCCTTCCCATTCCTCCTTCCCCCACATCCCACCATCTGCTGCTGCTGCTGCATGCAGGAAGCGTGCCCATGAGGACCCAGCCTTTTCATCCAAGGAGGTCTACAGCAAAGTGGACACCATTGAAGCCAAGGTACGTTGCCGCTCAGGTTCACTGCACCTCGCACTCCCACTACCTCTCATTGAATCGTTCATGATGCTGCATGGTGTTTTTGAGAATTCTCAAAACACCCTGCGCACTCCCATTACCTGTCATCACTAAACCGTTCATGGCCCAGCCTCTTCTTCCAAGGAGGTCTACAGGCAGAGTGGACATCATTGAAGCCAAGGTACTTAGCCACTCAGAATCCTGCCACCTCACATGTACCAGTCATTAAAATCCAATTGTTTCATCCAAGGACAGCAGAGTGGACATGATCGAAGCAGGTTCACTAAACCATGCACCATTCACACACACCACTCCCCTCCCTGGTGCCTCATTCCTTTCGCCTCGCCCTCTTTCCGCCTCCCCTTCTTCCTGTCTCCCCCTCTTTCCGCCTCACCCTCAGGTGAATCGCCTCAAGCGAATCCCCAAGCCCAAGCCCAAGAAGGTCCCCGCTCCTCCCTCTTCCCGCAACGCCACCACCGGAAACACCACCACCAGCAACAACGACACTAGTGCCTCTGATTCTACCAATGATCCCCCTTCCTCCTCTTCCACTAAAGACAAAAACGCCTCCCCGCCACCAGCTGGCGGTGAGGGGAAAGGAAAGGGCGAGGAGTGGAAGGATGTGCGGGATGAGTTGTGAGACCTGGAGCGACACAACGGCACACCTGCTATGGTGTGGCAACAATGCATATGTTGTACTGTTTCAACTTCTTTTTGGAATTACGGAGGCTAGTGTCCACCTCACTGGCCTGCTTCCCCAAGAATCAACTTTGTTTAGGCAGCATTCCGAGTTGACTTGAAAAACACATTGCTAGCAACAGAGCGGTAGTGATACTTGGTGATCTTTTTTTCTGACGCAGTTCAGCAGCAAGCCTTACTGGCCGGACATGTTTGCTGCAAGCTCATTTCACTGCTCACCTCTGTAGATTCTCTTTGTCTGGGTTAGGGTTCCATAATTTGGTTTACTAGGGTCTACTCCACTGGCCCGCTTCTTCAGCTATTGGCTTTTGCTTAGTATTTTGACTTGAAAACCACCTTGTTTGCTTCCTACCTTCAGGTCACAGCGAGACCAGGTGACTGAAGAGAATTCCTGATAGCGGATCAGCCAGCATTGCTGAACCTAGATAGCTGCTGCTGGAAGCTCACTGCACTGCTTCAAATAGCTATCACCAAGTCTGGTATGAAATTCATTTGTTCCCATTGAATTTGCTCCATTAAGTTAAAACAATAAAGCCAAAGCTTTAATAAAATTAATTGAGCTGTACAAACAAGATTTTAACTCCACATACAATTCCTATCATCTTCAGGAACTTCTAAAACTGCAGAGAAATCTTCAAGTGGATCTTCTTCACTGGAACTTAAATCTTGGACCTTGAACTTCGATCTTGGCTCGGACCCCTCTTGGCCGCTAGAGGACAAGCCTCTAGCGTTTCACCCTAACACCACGATGAGGTGGGGATCCTTCGTTAGGGAAACCTGCAAGGGAGGGGAGGGATGGTTGCTCGGGAAGTAAATAAAACAGAAAGGAGGGACGGTTAGGATTAAAGTAAATGCCAGCAGCTAACACCTCTGAGCTGGAAGTAGCTTCTCTGTTGTCAGAGTTGTCAGGTTGTCAGGTTGCCGCGGTGAGCCACAAAAAGTGGCGGGAGAAAAGAGGAGGAGGAAACCCAACCCACCCCGTCGCGTCGCCAGCCTACCCATCGCTTACCCACCCAGCCCACACCACCCACGTCAGTCCGTCAGTCTATACTGTAGCTGATCTACACAAATCTGATCTAACGCTCCTAAACGCCACTGTTCCCGGTTACCATGTGTTGCTGATGCTGTTGTTGCTCCACCTCCTGAGAAAGGGAAGGTGGGGAACGGGGGAGTCAAACTCCTCGCAGCTCCTCGGTCCTCGTTGATCCTTGCTTCTCCTTGTAGGTCCTCATTCGATCCTCGCCTTGCGCTGTTCCTTAGATCTCGACTTCCTGCACCACAGAGAACAACTTAAAAATACGTTAGTACTTTATAAAAAAAACCCGCCGGGAAAAAAGATCACAACACCTTACCGTGTGAGAGAGGCCGGCCGCGAGAGTCTTCATCTTCGTTCGCTCCGCCTGCCTAAGACGCACAAGGAGAAAAGGAAAGACGTGAGTACATCGGATATATAAAAACACTAATAATGGACAGCGCTTACCAAGGCGAAGTGTTGTCTCCTCCTTGGTCGGTCTTCATCTTCGGCCCTCCGCCTGCCTAAGACGCACAAGGAGAAAGGAAAGACGTGAGTAAATCGGATATTTGAAAACACTAATGATGGACGACACTTACCAAGGCGAAGTCTGGTCTCCTCCTTGGCCGGCCTTCATCTTCGATGCTCCATCTGCCTAAGACGCACAAAGTGAAAAGGAAAGACGTAAGTAAATAGGATAAATAAAAACATTAAAAATAGACGACATTTACCAAGGTAAAGTCGCTCCTCGCACCTCGCTCCACCCGCTTCGCACACCACCAGCGCGACCCCTCCTGGACTCCTCCTGCTGAGCGCACCAAGAATAAACGAAATGAGTAAGTGATCTCGAGAAGGTTAATAATAAGAAACGAACAAGCTAAAAAACAATAAAGCTGAAAAAAAAACTGAAAGAAACGATGACGAGATCAATAAAACCGTCCGATGGGAGAAGCGCCGCCCGACGGCAGAGATCCCGCCACCATGCGCCACGCGAGAAGGACCACCACACCATTCCGCCGCGAGCATCGCGCCGTGAAGTAGTCGCCTTCGCCCGGCCGTGGAGATTCAAGGGTAGAGATATGGCCGTGAAAATCAGTTCGAAAGAATCGCGTAGAACAGAAATCTTCTTCGGGCAACAAGCTTAGTACAGGCTCAACCCAGGCAGCAGGCAGCTCGCTCACTCACGACACGACTCTCTACCCAACCCGTCCCATCCACGCTATCGACTCTCAACGCTGCCGCGTGCCATTGGGTTTTCGCCTGTACTAGCCGGAAGCCTTTCGGAAAGATTAGCTTGCTCGGTGAACAAAAATGGGTTATAAGGTGTGATGTAAGGAATATGTGGGAACGATCGAGCTGGTACGAGAAGCGGTAGCGCGCTGCTGAATCACGAGTAGAAGCGTGCTCTGGCTAATCCATGCTTGTTCTTCCCACTGGACTTTTCCCTGACAATTCGTTTGGTAGGTTGGATGGCGGCCGGTGCGCGCGATGCAGAGCGCTTCAAACCAATTGTGTGTCAAATGTTGTAGCCTATAGTGAGGTTTGTCTTAGGGGGTACAAAACTTAGGGTTAGCTATATGTACCCCAACCAACATCAATGCATCATCCATTCCTCATTCTGACATGGTATCAGATAGGTTAGGATCCTGTGGGATCCCGTTCCTCCGTTCTCCGTTCGTATCTCCCGAGCCTGATCCTACCTCTCGTTCGTACCGGTTCCGTTGTTACCGCGCCTAGTGCCGAGCCTAGCGCCCTTCCCCCCGTCGCCTAGCGCCCTTTCCCCCCCGTCACGTCGCGCCCTTTTCCCCCGTTGCGTCGCGCCCTTTTCCCCCCGTCGCGTCGCGCTCTTTCCCCCCGTCGCGTCGCGCCCTTTCCCACCGTCGCGTCGCGCCCTTTCCCCCCGTCACGTCGCCCTGCCCCGTCCCGTTGCCCCTGCCCCGTCCCGTCGCCCTGCCCCGTCCCGTCCCGTCGCCCCGTCCCGTCCCGTCGCCCCTGCCCCGTCCCGTCCCCGTCCCGTCCCGTCGCCCCTGCCCCGTCCCGTCCCCGTCCCGTCCCGTCCCGCGGCCCTGCCCCGTCCCGTCCCGTCGCCCCGTCTCGTCCCGTCGCCCCTGCCCCGTCCCGTCCCCGTCCCGTCCCGTCGCCCTGCCCCGTCCCGTCGCCCCGTCCCGTCTCCCTACCCCGTCGCGTCGCCCTCCCCCGTCGCGTCGCCCTGCCCCGTCGCATCGTGCCCGCCCTTTCCCCCGTCCCGTCGACCCTACGCCCTGGCCCGTCGCTCTAGCCCGCTCTTCCGCTGCGACTAAGTCCCACCTGAACCCTAATTTGCCTCTTACCTCCTGCTGTTACTCGCCTGCTCGTTCGCGTTAGTTTTCGCTATGGCGACTCCGCGAGTTCTTCGTTTCGACGCTGACGGCAGACCTCTTGACTTTTCCGTCTGGCTCCTTCGCGCTCGCCGTCTGTTAGAGAGTCAAGTCCAGGGGGGCGAGACCCTCTGGTCGCACGCTACTGGTGACCTCCCCGAGCCCCCCGAGCCTGCCGCTTTAGGTCCTGCCCCTGACGATGCTGCTACGGCTCGCTTTGCCCGTCAGCGCGCTGACAGGACGGCTTGGACGTCGCGTGACGCTGCGGCCTGCATCGCACTCAGCAGCCTCCTCCCTGAGTCAGAGGAGGTCCACTTCACTCAGGTTCGCACCGCTGCTGCGTACCTCACTGCGATTAAGGCCCGCTACTCTACTCCCGCTACTGTCTCTCTTGGCCGTCTTTTCCTCCCGTTCCTGTTTCCTGATCTCGCCTCGTTTGAGCGCTCTGCTGACTTGATCGCTCACCTCCGCTCGCTCGACGCTAGTTACCGCGCTGCTTGCACTGAGGCACAGCTTGCACTGCTTCCTCCCCCCATGGCGATTACTATCTATTTCATCGCCACTAGCCTCCCTGACCGCCTTGCCTCCGTACGTGACGCGCTCCTGCTGAAGCACCCTAGTGAGCTGACAGTTGAGGTCCTTGAGTCTGCGCTCAAGGACGTCGAGAGCAACCTTCGCTCGGTAGCTGCCGCCTCTGGTGCTGTGCCCCCCCCACTCTTCCACGGGTGCACAGTCCCGCAGTTACCCACCTTCACTGCCTCTCTTGCCACTGCCGCTACTGCAGCTGCTGTTACGACTGCGTCGCGGTCCCGCGGCAAGGGGGGCAAGAAAGGTGGTTCTGGTGGAGGTGGAGGCGGAGGTAGCGGAGGTAGTGGGGGTGCTGTTGCGACTGGCGGTGGTGGGAGTGCAGCGTCTGGAGAGACCTCTCGTGCAGCGGCTGGTGACTCCACTGCGCCTGCTGGTGGTGGCGACACCCGAGCTCGTCAGTCGTCTCCTGTACTGCCGGCCCCGCTAGGTGGAGCAGCGGCGTGGTACCAGGCTCAGCGTCAGCAGCGGCTTCAGCAGCAGCAGCAGCCCCTCTCCTCCCAGCAGCCTCAGCAGCAGCAGCGTCAGCAGCTGGCTCCGGGGTCGGGGCTGCGTCAGCCCCAGCGTGGTGCTGCTTACCCTCCCTGCACCTATCAGGTTCTGACAGGTCCTCGTCGGGGCCACCCTTGTGGCCGCTTTCACCCCCCTGGTCAGTGCTTTGCTCAGCTCACTGACACGGTCCGGTTGGCCTACGGGGTTGGCGGTCCTGCCCTTGACTGGCTTCCTCTGGTTCAGCGCTACGGCTCCGCTCTGTGGGGCATGTCTGCTGAGCAGTTAGTTGATCTGATTGGTGCTCCTCATGCTATGTATGCTGTTGTTGACTCTAGTGTTTCTGACTCTGCTTACTCTGGTGTTGTTAGCTTAGGTGCTAGCCTTGCTCAGTTGCCTGTTGCTAGTGTAGGTTCTTGTGTAGACTCTAGTCCAGCGGCTACCTCAGAGGACGGTTCGCTGTCGTTCACGCTGGACTCTGGAGCCTCTCACTGCTTC